TCAGCGCAGGTCTCTACAGTCTGATATCTGTTGGTAAAAAAAACAGCCGGCTGACCTTTTCTGGTTTTCCATGCGACTGTACGAGCTGCCAGCAGCCTCATTTGCTCTGCTTTCATGTCTCACAGTCGTCACAGATTAACTCCCCTTTGATCCGTCTTTTGGGCCGACAGTGAAGTCAGGGGTTCTATTTCAAATTTAATGTTGACCTAAAATTACATCATCAGACAACTTTACATCAGCAGGGAGCTGTCCCTCATGTCATTACCCTAACCCCCCTCTCCGTCACTTCTGGCTCTATCCACTGACTGGTCTACAAGAAATGTTTGAATATGAATATATCTTGTGAATAAAATAAAAATATCGCCCTTGAGCACCAGCATGAAACCAAAACAAACTGCTGTTTGGCCACACCTCTTCTTTTCTGAAGCCTCCGCTCTCCTCCAGAAACACACCTCCAACTCCTCTCCACATGTATTCTTGCGAAGAAATTATGAATTGAAAAAAACCATAATTCAGAAACCATTCAGAAACCATAATTCAGCACCATTAAGCGGCAGACAAAATTGTCCTTTGCTTGAGCAGCAATTGCCTGTGTCCTGCATTGTTGTGTTAGCAGGCTAAAGTTAGCGCTCTTCAGTTAGCTCGTAGCTTCATATTGCACATAAAGTGACACAGATTGACCGTGATCTGTTCTGTTTGCACAATATATTAAAAAGTTGTTAATAGCTATAATCCCAAAAGAGACATTTCGGGGCGCAGGTAGTGGTTAGTGTGCTTGGAGGGTGTAGTCCTGGGTTAGACCTGGGTTCAAGTCCGACCTTTTTTTCCCTTCCCGCATGTCATTCCCCACTCTGTCCCTTCTGATTTTCGGCACTATCCACTTTCCTACCTCTACAAGAAATAAATCTTTGTCTCTTCGTCTCTGTAACTTGGAACAAACAGTACCGTATCGGATGTTGGACATGACTGAGATGATTTCATTCTCAGAGATGTAGAGTCTTCATGGTTTAGAGAGCATTCACTATAAGGACCATGCCATAACAAAATGTGTTTTAGATATTTAATGATAGATCATATGAATAAAGAGACAGATGAATGTATGTTGAGATAATGATTACGATGGAGGAGGATGTTGTCAGGGGATTGAAGGTGTGGTTTAGGCGGAGTCCTGCTCCTGAACTTAAGTTCAGATATTAACTTTGGAGCCGTTACAAACGTTTCACTTTCACCATATAGGTCTCTTCAGTTATATTCTCACAGCATCATTATAAAATACTTTCCGGCTTTCTTTCAGCGTTGAGAGGTGTTTATTTAGCTTTAAACAGACATCTTTACATCTACATAACTTCCAAAAAAATTGATTTTAAATCGATCAGTCATGCCGTGCTAAGTGCTCAGGCTAGCTCTTTCACTCAGTAGAATACCAAATAGAGCAACAAGAAATTCAGCCTCAGTCTCACAGATGACTGGAGTAGATCCTGAAGTTAATTCATAAATAGACTTTGAATCCATGGATCAATGAATCCAGAATAGTTTAGATTTAGAAGGTATTCATTTCTATTTGGATACACTTCAAATAGACTGGAAAGAAGACATTACCTTCACTTGTAAATGTCACACATAAACATTTCTTCAGCCTCAGTTAATCACATTTCCTTTTCAGCTCACAACATACACTTAGCTCCAATCCTAATATAGCTCCTCTGCTATGAGGTGTCTTACACATAATGTATTACAGCTTACAGACCTAACATAAAAATGACTCTTAGATTGTTGACATATTAAACGGCATATCCACAAAATTACCACAATTAATGAATTCGTGAAGATTCATACTAACAATAGACAACAGGTCTGAAAAGTAGAGATGCACAGATTCACTTTTTTTTAGTTCTGCTCCGAGACATATTTTCTGATACAAATACTGATTCAGTATGCGTCACACACAAACAGGAAGCAGCAACGACTGTAAGGTTTTTCAAATTAAATATTTTGTTATATTGATCGATTTTTGCCTTTATTAGACAGGACAGCTGAAGAGAGACAGGAAATGTTGGGTAGGGAGAGAGGGGAAAGACATGCAGCAAAGGGCCAAGGTGGGATTCAAACCCACAGGGCACTGCAATGAGGACTACAGCCTCTGCACATGGGGCGTGCTATATAACGGCTAGGCTATCCGCTGACACACACATTAAATCTCATGGAGACGATTTGTGGGCGCTTCTAACGGTTCAGTCTGAATGTCTTCAAAGTGAGACTGTGCAAGCAGAGAATATTTAAATTGAACTTGAGCTTGTACATTTCTTTTCTAGTCTACACATTTACACCCTGATGGTACAGGTTTTTATATGTCCATCAGTATTAACTCATCCATTCATACACATTAATACGCTGCAATTTGGGGATCAAACCTACGACCTTCCGGTTGAGAAACGAACGACTCTACTGAGCCACAGCCTCCCCACAGGCAGGGGGCAGGTGGTTGGTAAAATATAAAATGCACATTGGCCTTTGATAAAATCCTGACCCAACATGTGTGGTGAACATCTCTGTGAGCTGAAGCTTCCTCGACAACAAACAGAGCTGTGAGAGAGTAAACAGACTGCAGGCAGCTCAGCAGCATTTTTATTACGGGCTGCTTCGCACAACACGCTGATGACTCCACCGTGAAGCTTTTATATATGTAAGACCGGTAGGCCCTGCATGAAGTCAAAGCCGGCTTAGTTTATATCATGGTATGGAGGAGGGATGCATGAACGCACCGCGGGCGTGTGTCGCCCTCGCAGAGCACTCAGCAGACACGATGACAGTAAGTGGAGTCCCTGAGCGGAAAGACACAGCTGACGTATCGGGAGAAAGATAATTAAACGAAGAGCTTCGCATGGTTAGCATCGCATGAAAAAACACCAGGCGCCCAAACATGACACCTTACATATAAAACATATTACATATATAAAAAATGTTTACATGCACGGAGCATGTGCTAATTCAACACGGATCCAAACATACACATGCTTTTAGTCACCTGGGATTATACGGTACATTAAGTTATATTCATCCACCAGTCTGACTGTAACCACGTGTTGCTTCATGTTTAAGATTTACCACAAATATGAATCTTAAACAGGCAAAGCCTCTGTTTCCAAGCATCGTGTAAAAACATATTATCCAATGCACGCTGCATGGTTGATGCAGCAAGGACACATTTATCCAAAAGAATTTAAAAAATGTCTTCGTAATTTTCGACCTCGATGCTTTTCCAGCTCCATTATTCACCAAAACAGCCAACAGTGCACTCCAGTATAACCTTCAAAAGGAGGTGCAAAATGTCTCTCGAACATCATTAGCTGAGCGTTGCATTACAGTTTATGTTTTATAGATCATGATCAGGTGGTTACTTTGGGCTCTGTGGTTTCAAGTTCTTAATTAAAGGTCACATATTATTTTCCTCTTCAACCAGTTTACTTAAGTCTCAGAGCAGTGAAGTTTCTTGTTCTAAATCCACTCTGATCCTGTATTTGATCATGTCTATAAACCCCTCCATTTCAGCCCTGCTCAGAACAGGCTGTTTCTGTGTCTGTACCTTTAAATATGTAAATTAGCTGTGTCTGACCACGCCCCCTCTCTGGAAGGGCTTGGGTGTCTCGATCTTTCTCGCTCCATGTCCTATTGTTTACGGTGAGAAGGCAGACTCAGAGGGCAGAACAAACACCTAGCTGTGGGAGTGTCACCCACCTGGGGGAGGGACTACTGCCCTTTGTGATGTCATGAAGGGAAAATCTCCAAACAGCCTGTTTGAGCACACATTTTCTGAAAAGTGGAGCAGGCAGAAGACAGAGAGGATGGACTTTTCTCATTATTTGGGGGTTTGTAGACGGACTAGAGACACAGATTAGTGTAAAATGTAAATGCTACACCTCTCTGCTCTAAACACTTAAAGCTGTGATCAAAACTACGTCTGAGTAACAAGATTAGTACGGATGTCTGATGTGCTTGCCTTTGCCTCTTTCACTTTAAAATGTACCTTCGACACAGGGCCAGCTCCAGCCATTTTGTAGCCCTATAGGCGGGATTATGATTTACAATTTAAATTTGACAAAAATTAAATAGGCTTCACTGTTGTAACACAGCCCAAAAAGTTGATTTAAACACGAGTCTAACAAGGCACATAGCCAATCATAGTTCAGGATTTTGCACTGAGGTTGCCACCCCTTGGCTCCACCACCTGGTGTGGCCCTCCATTTTTTACAAACTATCACTGAAAGAGTAGCTCTGTAACATTGTCATTATTTAACATCCTTTGTGCCACTCCAGCAACTGTAAGTATTCAGTATTTCTGCAAAGGACAAAAAAATATATAAAGGCAGTTGATGACTAGGACAAATATGCACAAGTAATAAAAGGAACATGAAACTCTGGCACCTAGCATTTAAAAGTGGTACTAAGTGTTACTTACCCCTCTCCCGATGCTCAGGCAGGTTGCCATCTCATGGACACTGAAGCTTCAGTGTTTATCCAGCTCTGCATCGGTCTGAAAACCTTTCTGTGTTCTAACCTCTCTCCATTTTTCAAAAGCATCTCCAACATTGATCCTAGTTTGAGCACGTTTCTGCTCGTGGAGCTTATTAGAAACATGCAGAGGCTTTTTAGGTCGGGTACCATCACTTCTATCTGAACCACTTCTCTTGACCACTTCCATCACTACAACACCTGTTGGTTTGACCTGATAACTTCTCTCATAGCTGGCAAACCGAGGGGCATCCAAAACGGCCATGTGGGGGGGGGGGGGGGGGTCCCTTAAAAGTGCCTACCTTCTCTGGTCCAAACAAATCCAGAGCATTCAGGACCAGAATCTAAAGTTAGAAGGAGGACATACTGGCTGCTGCATTGTTGTTGATCTCTTACAGATTTCACCTTTAAAGTCAGCATAATTGAAAAAATAGTGAAATTGTGGCTAGCCAGAAATAAATGTGTGAGAAATAAAGCGGAAATAGAGACAGTTTACCAAGGTAAGAAACGTGTATTTCTTTATTACATTCAACAGTACAGTACACTGAAATTGCACATTTTCACCAGATATAGCAGCATTCTGACTGGCAAATGGACTAATCAATAGGCACATCCAAAACATTTAAATAGAAATACACGTGTCCAAATGTGTCGCCACCACTTTTCTGACCACTCAAATCCCACTGAAGCCGTTAATTTACATGCCTCATAAAACAAATTCTACGCAACTAAAACACACACGGTCCCAACCCCCCCCGCCCCCGTGACTCGCCATTCCAGTGGCAGGAAAAGACGTACGCTCAAGTCAAACCCAGCAGCTCCCCCGTCCTCCCTCCTCAGAACAGTGTTTAAGGAAAAACTCACCCGTTTCTAGTCTCACACAGTATGTGCCATTCAGTACATTGCAGGGGTTATAAAGTGTTTTCATTTTCTTTTATGGTTTCCTTCAGTCAGTGGCTTCACTTAAAGGTTTCTTTGTTTCACCTGCGGAGAAGTGTGTGCTGCTGCGTGTGTTGAGTAGGTGTGCACAGAGCCGAAAGAATAAAAATAAAAAACAGAGATAATCCAAGGTCGTATTCTTAGAAGAGATGTATTGTTGCTGCACTGCGTTCAAGGTCTTACTGAGTAGAGCTGGGTAAAGCTGCATCATGTTTGATAACCAGGTATTAGAAACTTCAAAGGATCAAATTCTGACAAGAAATGTATACAACATTTAAAATAAATCAAACTGAATTTAAGAGACCTGTACTACGAATCAGATGTTTTTTCTTGACCAGGCTTTACTAACCCTGATATCAGAGATTTCGCTAAGGGGTAACACAAAGCTGGTTATCATCTTGATTAGGGCTCGACCGATTTATCAGCCATCCGATAATATCGGCCAATATTAGCATATCAAGTGATTATTGGTATTGGCTGATTTTATTGTAGATATGCACCGATATTACTCAATTTATTCACCACTCAAATAGCATTTTATTATTTTTTGAGTATGGTTGTTTTACACTAGCAGTTCTCCTTCACCAGCAGAGGGCACTATATGGCTTACAACAAGCATCATCACTCTCCAGAGTGTCAAGCGGTGATCGTACATGCGCAGTTACTTTCCAGTCGAGTGACCATCTTGTCTTCATTAAATATCTTTTCCACAAGTGTTTGATAACTGCATTTGAGGGATCAATATCATAAATGTGTATATATATATTTTAGGTAGCATAGTGGTTGGTGTGCACGCCCCATGTATGGGGAGTCCTTATTCCAATCCTGCCTGTGGTTTCTTTCTTCTCTTGTCGTTCCCCACTCTCTCCCTGATTTCTGACTCTGTCCCATCTCTCAAATAAAGCCCAGAAATCCATCTTAAAAAAATAATCTATATATCGGTATCAGATTTTTTCTCTCCCAACATCGAGATCAGTATCGGCCCCAAAAAACCCATATCGGTCAGGCCCCGATACCTCAATAAGTAAACCAAGAGTTTTTATGAGCATGTTCACATAAAAGGGGGAGGAGTTAGCGGCACACAACCAATTAAAAAATGAAAAAAATATGATGAAATTACACACGTAATAGAAACTAAAAATCACAACAGCTGCAGCAATGACGGGAGGAACGCGCACAAAACAATTGCAGTGTGTGAATGTGCAAATTAAGGCTTATAATATCACTCAATCATCATTAGTGCAAAATAGATCTCTGCCTAAATATATAACTTGTTTTTTTCCCACATTAAATAAATATATTCTCATATGTGGTGTCTGTTGGTTATCAGAGTATGACGCTCATAAAATCAAATATGAAAACATAACTGAAAGTGGAGAACGATTATTTGTTAGTTGAAGATGTTAATGCGTTGGTTAGTCCCTGCTGTAGGACAACAACTGTGAAGCATTATTAAAATGTTTGAATGTGAGATCTGATCGGTCACTAGATGGAGATTCATTCAGGTCGAGCTCTTATCCAAAACATAACCTGCAAATTTGTACCGAACCTCGACTTTGGCTAGCATTGAACATTTGAGAACTATAAATAATGATCGTATTATTGTTCATCAGTATCAAGCACTGTGAAGCTAAACCCAGCCCTACGACTGAAGCTGCTGTTGGTGGAGATGAAGGTCGGCCTCTTGTGAAGGATTCTTTTACATAATGTTGTTTATCTAACAAATGCTCCTCTTGTGTTTTCTGACAGACTAAACGACTGGAGGTACTGAATGAAACAACCGTCATTGACTCTGAGGCTTTCAGTTCAGGGCAAAAGAGAAGCACTTTATGCTTTGTGTGAGGTGTCCCTTTTTCCCTTGAGATCATTATGTGTGTGTGTTTGTTTGTGTCAAGTTTAACACAAACCACACAATATCTTCACTTCAAGACAGAACTGCTCTTTCTAGGTTAAGGATTTGTCAGCTCGTTGTGCAAGATGAGACAAGCAAACAAGTTTCCAAACATTTCTATTTTCTAATAAAGTTTGGATCAAACATTCCTGATGCAGACTCAGAACTTCAGGAGGATCTCACCACTCAGAGGCGTCAGTGCATCACTGAGGTCCTAAAAGTGAAAATTTGTGCAACTAGATGTCCTGTTTGCGGTGACTTTATTTATTTCTCCCTTCAAATAATGCGCTTCTCTTTTGGTTCGAACACATTTACACATTTGGATTTAGAACAAGAAACTTCACAGACATGTTTTGGGGAGCTCTGAGACTTATTTAAACTGGTTGAAAAGAAAACTAATATGTGACCTTTAACTATAACAGGGTAACGTCCAAACTAACCTAAATATTGTCGCAGACATTCCCCCAGCCAATCAGTAAAAAGCAGTTTTTAATGCAGTGTTTGTTCCAGTGTTTCCTCTTGGGTCTAATTGTCTCTGAACAGACTGAAATCTGAAAATGACTTCTTGTAGTTGCCGTTAATCCACAAAATATGTCAAAGCATTACAATTAATTGATTGTAGCAGATACAACCTTCATCTACAGCTAGTGTTTAATAAGAACAGTGGCATCGAGTGGGGAAATCTTCAACTGGATCGTGAGGTAATTTTACGGTACTATATCGTCAAGGTGAACTTATCGCTGCCAAAGAAGAATGAAAGCGGGAGTAGTAAAAAATAAAAGTAATTATTCATTTCTGAGGGATGTAATCTATCACAAACAGCTGGTCAAACCCTCGGCTCCTCCTCAAAATTATCCCACCTTTTAAAACTATCACCATGACAACCATACTTTATGGAGGACTTTACACCTACATGGCACCTACTGGGAGCTATGTGTAAGATTTGAGTTGTACTTCTGCCTACGTTGGAACTATCTCAGCCGGTTCCAACACCTTAAATGTTGGTAGAGCATAAACTCTGTCATAAGATTGAACTAGACTACGTTTGAACTTTCACCTAGGTGGGGCAACCCCTTGCAGATGCTTAATATGTTAAAAGAATAGTCAAATGTAGTGTCCAATTATTTTAGATCAGACAGTACCAAGAGAATGGAAAGCTCTAAACACCATTTACAACCCCTGCATGTATTTGAGCAAAGTTCATGAGAAGAGGTTTGTATTTCCACATTCACAGCTGACATGTTGTTCTTCTTTTTCTATTTTCAAAATCAAACAAGGGCATAATAATAATTTTTATATTCCTAAAGTAAGATGTTAAAAGAGACTGTTATAGTAGTATACCTTAGGTACAGAGTAGGAGTCAGTTTTAGAACATTTTGAAGAGCTGTACTTTTGATGTCAAATCCTCTCTGTTGATATTTTTAGTCTCCGTTTATGACTAGACCCATTTTATTTTCTCACTGTTACCTGAAGCAACACATCCCCACCAACGCAGTCCCAGCCTCTAGTGACGCAGCGCTGTTTTCTGACTAAGAAAAGGAAACCCACTACACAACAGAAACAGGCCCAGAACGGCAAGGTAAATGAAATAACAATGTGTTTTTTTAACAGTGTTGAAGCGAGTCGAGGGCTAGATTTTTTTCCTTCAAACCACAGAGCGGTGTTCTCCACACACGTACACGGCGCTCGGCTGGATGCGCCTCTTGGTGTTGCCCGGCAGCTGAGGAAGAAACTTGAAGTACTTGGGCATCAGGTCGAGGCAGGCGTCGCGGAACTTTTTGATCCGCCAGTAGTAAATTAGAGGGTTGAGGGCCGACTTGAGGTAGCACAACCACAGGACCCACGTGCTGATTTGAAAAAAGCTGTCTTTGTGGTAGAAGCCGTCGCTGAAGGTGGTGACCAGACTGTAGGCGGTGAAGGGTGCCCAGCACACTGTAAACACGGAGAAGAGGATGAGGATGGTGGTGAAGGCACGTGTCTTGAAACTCATGTCTATGTTCATTTGGAAGGGCCTCTGGAGGCTCAGCAGGCCCAGTTTGCTGGCCTGGCTCAGGCAGATGCTGTCCGGGTGGCTGTGGATGCGGATGGCGTTGTGGCGGATGGTGTTCAGGATCCCCATGAACGTGTACAGCATGACCATGAACGGTATGAAAAAGAAGACTAGCATCAGTATCAACACATAGGCGTGGTAACCCGGCTCCACACTGTAGCCGAACACACACTGAGGGGCCCTGGGGGGGGTCTGTAAGGGAGGGGAACCAATAGCCAGAGGGAAAGAGAAAACAAACGAGAGTCCCCATGTGACCACGATGAGCACTTTGGCTCTCTGCGGGCTCAGCTTGTCTTGTTTCTGGACAATAATAAGAAAGCGATCTATGCTTATTATAAGCAGTATGGCCACGCCCTCCATCACGAAGAGCCAAAAGAGCATCGCTGAGACTCGACAGAAAACGTCCCCGAAAATCCACTGGGTGGTCACGACGGTCACCAGGGCAAAGGGCATGTTCAGGATGGCCAGCATCATGTCGGCAAACGCCAAGCTCGCCAGCAGGATGTTGATGGCCGAGCGCATGGCAGACCTCTGGTACACCATCAGGCACACCACCACGTTCCCCAGCAGAGCCAGGAGCAGGATGGCGACCATGACGAAGCAGAAGAACACCTGCAGCGGCAAGTTGACGCCCTGCAGGCTCTCCGGGGGGCCCTCCGCTGTCGGCGTGAGCGTCTCAGGGGGCGACCGGGAGCCCAGGGAAACGTTCGCCATGGAGATGTTCTCCATCGGCGGCCTCTCCGGAAGGTTCAGCAGCCCCGTAACGAGGCAGCAGAGACCGTCGTCAGTGTCCCCTGCCTCTGGAAGGCGAGCAGGAGTGGAGAGGACCATTCTTCCCCGGGGTGAACGGGCATGCTCGCAGGTGAGCTCACGCTATGCATGGTATCGTGGATTGCAGAAAGTCCTCCCCCCCGCTCAACAGGACATGGCGGCGTCGTCACTGCTGCGAGTCCCTGAGAGACAATAGACAGAGATATAGAGAGCGTAAATCAAACAGAGCATTATAAAAGCAGATTTAAATAAAAGATGCATCACTTCCATCTAAATTCCCCGCAGAGCGACAGTGAGCCTGTCATCCACTCAGGGTTATTGCCTGCAAGCCCCCAATTAATTCACACAGCCATCATCTCTCTGAGGCCTGCAGAGTCCCACAAATTACAAATTAGCAGTACTGAACACCCCCCCCCCCCCCCAAAAAAGCAGTTTAGATGCTAAAAATAGTGAGTGATAATGAATTGCAGCCACTTTCAGGGGATTTACATGCAAATCGCCTCCCGTCCTCTTAACAGAAGCCAATCACAATTTGTTCTACACGTGTCTCAAAGCATGGCGGATTCAATTACAGTGTTATGATTAAAGGTGAAACGAACCGTGGAAGCCTTCCCTTTTATCTGTGAAGACTTCTCCACAAGTCAGTATATCAGAGAACGGAGTGCAAGAGGAACAGGTTGGATGACCTGAAGGAAGTTCAATTCAACTCAAAACAAGAGGAATAGCAAAGGAATAGTTAGCCGTCTGTCTGAGAGCAAGATGAAAAAGGACAAAAGAAAACTAATCTCTGTTCACGGCTCTGCGTATGGAATGGAAACGGGGGGACAGCAAGTGTTGTTTGTTGCCACTATGTCCTTCCTATCACGCTGCACTACGTAGTTTGAGCATTGAAGTTCAGTGCATGCAGTCTGGCAGTATCAACTCCCCAATCCAGGTGGCACTAATGCTTGGAGAAGAATTAGAGTAACATACAGTAGCAAGCTGTCACAGCAGAGCTACAACACCTGGCTGCTTCTTGAAATCAGTTGTGTGGAGACATTTCTGGTTTTGTCATGTGTTATCTGAAACACGTCCAACATGCTGATGAATATCAGATGAAACCACCTGGAAGTGCCAATCGGCGGAGCTAGGAAAAAGAAAATAAGTATCTGACAACTTATTGAAGGTCTCGTCTTGGAATCAAGAGCATTTCTACTTGGTCTTGTCTCTGTCCTGGACTGGGCAGCATTAACGCCTAAACAAACAAAATGACCCCTCCCACAATAACTTCCGGGTCACTTTCTGCATTTGGTACATTCCCATTCCGTCAAGATTCTGTCGTTTGCAAATTTGTTTAGGGACTGGTAAAAGTGTTTCACATCTTGTAAATTTGCTTAATAAAATTTAAATGTGTTTTGTCCTTGGTGAAAGTGTTTTGGTTTTGTTATTTTGTTGAATAAAATGTAAAAATGTTTTTCTAAATTTAAATTTGTCTCAAATTTTGCAAAAGTGTTTCTGACTTTGAAATTTTGCTTTGCACTTCCCAGCCACCGCAGACTCTGGATTTTAAATCAAGATCTGCTATTTTTCACATCATTACTGTGACTAGAAGGAAAACGCCTCTTTCTAAAGAACAAAAAACTTCAATTCATTTTTTTATCCCTCGGTTACGGCCATAACCTTCACGGTGTTATGTTCTCAGTGTTACACAAGATGATTATTTTTCAGAGATGTTTTTGGTCTTGGTCTTGACTCGGTCTTGGCGCTCTGGACTGGAATGTCTTGTTCTCGGTTAGTGTGGTCTTGACCACAACACTAGTGCATACCCACACTTTTTTAAAGACGCGGTGATATAGTGCGGTGGTGTTGTAAAGTAGAGCATTAAACACCAATCATGCCTAAAATGAAAAAGAAATGTTCCGCTCTGTTTGGCTGAACTGTGATTCTACATCATGTTAAAGTGCTGCCATTAACAAACAGGCCGTGTTCAACCTGAGACCCACACTGCAATAAAAGCCCTTATCTCCTGTATAAACATCAGACTGCCTGGTGTCATTTACAATCACTGAGCAGCAAATGCCAAATAACACATAGTAGGCAAAGAGTCCGTTTGTGAGTACTTAAAAGGATTAATCCGCACACAAATTAAACCTTTTCATTAATGTTCAGCCCTGTGTGGGTGGAAATACCAAGCAAACACAATTATAGGCAATTATGAGGAGAACAATGCTCGCCAGCCTTTTTATTCCGCCGTATTAAATAACACAGGTTGTTGCAAATACACGTGGATGTGTAGCCATTCGGCAGACAATGTTATCACCAAGACAGGCAGGACATTAAAAGCGGTATATTTGAGCACCTAGATGGAAGCTTTTTCTTCATTCATATGGTGATGACACACTTACGGCTGCTGCAATTACCCAGCGCTACGTCCCAATAAGACCTGCTGGATGAGAGCATATAAGGAACTCTTTTTACCTCCACTTTTCGCTTGAAATCCACTTTTTGTAAGGACACAGGCGTTGTGTATCACGATACTGAACATGCTGTGCAGCAGTCTACCTCTACAGGAAGGTAATACATTGCCTTCCCTTTCCTTCGGGGGCAGAGTGACCTAAAATGTTAAAATAGCCACTTCAGCCTCCGAGCAATCAAGTGAGCCTGCAGGTGTAATGGATGATCGGGTACTTGGAGCTGGGAACTGTTCAAACCCTGTGGCAACGCAATTATCCAACGGAGAATTGCAGAGAGAGAGAGAGAGAGCGGGCTTATTCAGTGAAATCTTGTTACCTTGAACTGCGTCTAAATATACTCGGGAGACAAAGAGTGAACTGGAAACCTGTCGAGTACCTCCATGATGGTGAGATCGACAAGTGAATGTTGATAAAAAAACAGTGAAGAGCATATTAGGCGGCCGTGTTAAACACTGATGATGATGTCACTGTGACTCTCTCTACCTGACACATGGCTTACTAATATGAAGTTTAACGCTGTGGTTCTCAACTCGTCCAGCCTCAGTCAGGACTCACCACTAACTACTCCCTGAAAAACCATGACCCAAATTTACAATATTTTTCAACCTATCAGATATATTTATTGCAAAATTAGTTTTTGCAAGTTTGCAGCTGCCTTCAAATGTTTTGTAGCTCAGACGATACAAAACATCTGACAGCAGCAATGAACGGAATTAAAGAAAACGTCAGCTCGCAACCCACTGAAAACAGCTCCACCGGTTGAGAATCACTGGGTTAAAGGATCATATGAATGGTAAGCTCTAAAAATAAAAACCATGGATTGAACCTTAGGTACCACTTTTTATCAGCTTATGGACTCAAAAAGGGCTTTAAAAATAAGATTGTAAACACCAGAATTATCATTTTCAATCAAATTCTGACTACCTCACAAAAAGGGTGAAACATCAATCATCATTGGTTTGAATAATGGGTGTGATCGTCATTTTCTAATGACGTTTAACCTTCGAATTAAGGTAACATCTAGTGGTATTTAAAAGTGCACATTGTTCACATCATAAACATTTATAAACATCAATCTGTTCACCCAAAATAATCTGCAGATTTTCTGTATCGACAGGCTGTATACATGGTAGTGTTGTAGTGCTCAAAATCCTTCTTGGTCTCGAGAACAGCGGGGAGTATACTGAAAAACATATTCAAATAATAAATACATGTAAAATTTTGAATTTTACATATAATGAGAGATATTTTCTGACCAAAACTAACTTATTTATGCTCAGAGACTCTGGTTTCTCTTCTGTCATCGTCATTAGAACTAACAAGACTTACGTTGACGATCTTTTACTCTTTATGAAAACAAATCGTAGATTTAAGTAAAAATCTTTATTGTGTTTCTGTTCACGCTGGTCACTCCTCTCGTCCGCTCGTAAAAATCTTTGAACCGCAATGCATGATGGTTTTGCTCAGATAGTGGCCATCGCTCAAACACTACTTTTCAAAATGCATTGTGGGATACATTGAGTGGACTGTATAGGGTATGACCATGCTCACTCAGAATTCGGACAGCACTACAAAATGGCTTGTCCACTATACACAAGTAGTCTACTGTATAGTTTATTCATAATTTTGTATAACATTAAATATAAGTGGAACGACTAGTTTCTTTTTTTTTTTTTGCTTGCAAGAATTGTAAAAAAAAATGTGAAACATACAAATAATTCAGGTAATTAATTTAATGATTAATTTCTGCAACAGGTACTGTCAGGCATCACAGTCCATGCAGTTCAGAATTAATTATTTTTTAAATTAAGTCTTGATTTTGATAAACTTGGGGGGTCGCGGGCAGGATTCAGTGACAGACATAGAAGCCTTATTCAGACTGCTGTTTCAAGGCGCTAGGATTTTTACGTCCCCTTGACGTTTAGCCTTCACTATGAATGTCACAGAGCCATAATGGGGGGAGAAAGTGATCCCACCTCTATACCGACTTCAGAGGTACTAACAGACGGGTTAAAGGGGCAGGACAGGATCGGCTGAGCCAGCAGGGGAGAACAGCGCTGTGTGTGTGTGTGTGTGTGTGTGTGTGTGTGTGTGTGTGTGTGTGTGTGTGTGTGTGTGTGTGTGTGTGTGCATGTCTGACTATGTGTACGTGGAGCTCGTGCTGCACCGTGCTCTCTCGCGCTTCAACAACGCCATAACGCAATGTGAATTCACAGACCGACACACAGAAATAACGCTATAACTATTGCAGAATTGTTTCGTGTTTAAGCCATGATGGTTGTGCTGACCAATGTTTTGTTATTGTTGTTTGTGAATCAAATACCTGAGAGTGTTGTTTTTTTACTTTGAAAATACGAAATTACGTGTCGGTTGAGATTAATTCTAAGTTTGTTGTCCTTAAAGTGAAAGTACACATCGAATGGCATTCACGTGTTTTAAATACCACTGGATGTTTAATTTTTTATATTAAAGTGTGCTTTAAAATGTATTAAATCCAATATTGTTATTGTATTCCTTGACCTAGTCTTTTAGATCAAAAAATAAAACTAGATAAAAAAAATTCTTAAAACTACAAATTGTACTGAGAGGAAAATAAATTAAGATTTTTAAAACCAAACAGAAAATTATGGACGCAATGTGCTCGTGGACGCAAACCAAATCATTTAAGAATTAACGGCATTTCAAATTCAAATGTTGGTTTTCAGTTAGACTTTAATTTTAATTTTTAACTGTCCAGTGGTTTTTAAGACTCAGTGAGTGGATACTAAGTATATTAAGTGTTAATGTAGTTCAGTTATCCGACATTTGAGTAGTTTGTGATTTACATTTTTCATATAAAGATGAGCCCGTGTCGCAATATAAAATAACCTTTTAGTAAAATATTTTTCTATTTTAAATTCACAACAATCACATCTAAACATCCCAACACCTGGTGACCAAATCTGTGGGAAAATTGACCCAGATCATTTGTAATCAATGTTAAATTGAATTAAACCTCATTTAAACCAGTCTTTTACTTCATCAACAATCAATAACAGCAGTAACACCAACCCTGCTGACCGGTTACACACGGTGTAACGGTTTGTTTAGTAACATGTAACGTTACAGCCTGCTGCGTTGGTACACACGGTGTAAAGGTGTATTTAATAACATGTATGTAATGTTACAGACTGCTCCGTTGTTACACACGATGTAACGGTGTATAACATGTATGGAACGTTACAGACTGGTCCGTTGTTACACACGGTGTTACGGTTTATTTAGTAACATGTATGTAACGTTACAGACGGTGTTACGGTTTATTAAGTAACATGTATGTAACGTTACAGACGGTCTAACGGTTTATTTAGTAACATGTATGTAACGTTACAGACGGTGTAATGGTTTGTTTAGTAACATGTATGTAACGTTACAGACAGTGTTACGGTTTATTTAGTAACATGTATGTAACGTTACAGACGGTGTTACGGTTTATTAAGTAACATGTATGTAACGTTACAGACGGTTTATTTAGTAACATGTATGTAACGTTACAGACTGCTCCGTTGTTACATACACTGTGTTACGGTTTATTTAGTAACATGTATGTAACGTTACAGACGGTGTTACGGTTTATTAAGTAACATGTATGTAACGTTACAGACTGCTCCGTTGTTACATACACTGTGTAACGGTTTGTTTAGTAACATGTAACGTTACAGCCTGCTGCGTTGGTACACACGGTGTAAAGGTGTATTTAATAACATGTATGTAATGTTACATACTGCTCCGTTGTTACACACGGTGTAACGGCTTATTTAGTAACATGTATGTAACGTTACAGACGGTGTAACGGTTTATTTAGTAACATGTATGTAACGTTACAGACGGTGTAACGGTTTATTAAGTAACATGTATGTAACGTTACAGACGGTGTTACGGTTTATTTAGTAACATGTATGTAACGTTACAGACGGTGTAACGGTTTATTTAGTAACATGTATGTAACGTTACAGACGGTGTAACGGTTTATTTAGTAACATGTATGTTACAGACGGTGTAACGGTTTATTTAGTAACATGTATGTAACGTTACAGACTGCTCCGTTGTTACATACACTGTGTAACGGTTTGTTTAGTAACATGTAACGTTACAGCCTGCTGCGTTGGTACACACGGTGTAAAGGTGTATTTAATAACATGTATGTAATGTTACATACTGCTCCGTTGTTACACACGGTGTAACGGCTTATTTAGTAACATGTATGTAACGTTACAGACGGTGTAACGGTTTATTTAGTAACATGTATGTAACGTTACAGACGGTGTAACGGTTTATTAAGTAACATGTATGTAACGTTACAGACGGTGTTACGGTTTATTTAGTAACATGTATGTAACGTTACAGACGGTGTAACGGTTTATTTAGTAACATGTATGTTACAGACGGTGTAACGGTTTATTTAGTAACATGTATGTAACGTTACAGACGGTGTTACGGTTTATTAAGTAACATGTATGTAACGTTACAGACGGTGTTACGGTTTATTAAGTAACATGTATGTAACGTTACAGACTGCTCCGTTGTCATGGCATTAAAATGGTTGAGACGACAAACTGATTCACATCGAGTTAAAAAAAAAAATTATCTGTAGACGACGAGACCGGGTGGGTGTTTGAAACAGATACCCGACATTATGTGTTATTTTCGGGATTTGGGTCGACAGATGAGAAACAGAAATCAGGTTATGTTGACCGTGAGGTACCGACGGGTTGTATTTACCTGCTTGGCTCCCCCATGTTTGGATGTTTTGGGCTCACTCGGCGGCTGAAGTGCTGGAGCTCAGTCCTCCAAATGGTGCATCTCGCCGCCCAAAATGTTTTCTCCTCCTCGCTGTAGTTCAGACATGAAACAGTTTTCCAGCCAAACGACGCTTTTGCCTCTCTATCTGAATATTTAAACCCACAGTGCGGCAGCTGGAGATGTTTCTACCGACACATCTGAAGCAGCATCAAAGTAAAATCCGCATTCGCTTCAGTGTCGCTTTGTTTCCAGATGCGCCCGGCAGAGGCAGCCATCATTACCCATGTTTTTTTAAAGGAAGAAAATAAATATCTAACTCGAGCTCTCCTGCTTTCTTTTCCTTTATGTAGATTTCTGCCAGCACCAGATGTATGAGGCTCTGAACTGTACTGAAGCTCACATTATCTCCACACTGATACAAACTACACTCTCTACTGTGAGAGAAGAACCCGCGGCAAGAACAGGAGAGTGAACTAATACTACTTCCGGTTTTGGAGTTTCAGAATAAAAGCCACCAGGGAGGAGTTTGACAAATGTAAGATTTGTGTTTCAGAAACACTGAGTGCCCGTGTAATATCACCAAGACAACATGAAAATAATGTTAAGAAGTCATGTTATATATATATATTAAGTTCATGGCGGTGAAGGCTGAAAGCAGTGTACTTCTTTGTTTTTGGTGGGCGGTGCCAGCACAAAAACACTGTATGTTGACACATGCCAATTTAATTTTCGAAGAACTGCTTCTGAAATCCTCCTGACCTGGTTTTTCACACATGCACCTCAAAGCAGGAGTCCATTCCAGTCGGACTCAAGGAGGGACGTTTTTGGGCACGTGCTGGGGCGTCTTATCTTAAATCTTATACAGCAAACCAAATTGAGATGACATAGCCTACACATGTTTTCATACATGCAAAAAACTCTTGAAAATTTCCAGAAATGTTCATGGTGAGCTGCAAAACATCTGGACACGCCCCTGCATTTGCTATTAGTGATAGCTTGGTTAGCAAAGTGCATCTGTGAAATTGGGATGCTTATTCTGGGTGCCAAGAAACAGGCTATAAAGAAAATGTGCTTCCTGAAAGAAACAGTCAGAGAAATGTTTCATGCCAACATGGCAACTTTGTCAAACACAGGACGTGATTCCAAAAAAAGCATGCTATGGTTTTAACTAAATCTTAATGGAGATGGGAGCTTTTTTCCAAAACATGCAATGTGTTGCATCAAAGAAGGACTGAAACTAACAATTGACACTATAGATTAAATATTTACTGAGGTAATAAATCATAAGTGGGCTCATTTACTAGCTGTCTATACAACTGTTTTTGTTTTTTCTCAAATAATGATCAATCTTAAGAAGAGTAAATCTACAAATGTTCAACACAATGTTTTCTGTCCATAAAATAAATATATTTGCAGCACATTGATAAACCAGTTCATATACTTTGAGGCTTTTATTTTGGAGGCTAAATAGCACCGCCTCAGAGTGCATTGCTATAACTCCTGTAAGCTTGACGAAGCTTTGTATTCAGTGATAACTGACACCCACAGAGGCCAGTTGCATGGGCCACGGAGGAGTTTTCGTAGGGTACGTCAATATCCAATAGAAATGTTATAATCAGGGGGGAAGGGGCGTGGTTTGGTTGGAGGAAGCCTTGTTTTTGGACATGTGCTGGTGCATGTGGTGGGTGGTAAGGATGACAAATGGTGCCTGTTATTGCAAAGATTGGCTCAGTGTTTTGATATCACTTAACGTGGGGTTAGGCTATGAAAATGATTGTATTACAAATTTGTTAAGAGTTAATGTGCAGGGTAATTAACAAGTCGTAGGCTTCCCTTTGGTTGACTCCAGGAACTCACCAGGACCGTCAGAAACTATACAAGCACATTAAATTAAGGATGCAACACCAAATGTAACACAGAGAACAAAAATAGTTGTTTATTCTGAAAAAGTGTGCGTACATGCAGCATGTTCATATATTATCATCCATGAGCTTCGTGTCATTGAGATACCTCTGAGTTTTCTGGAGGCTCTCAGCTCAGTTAAATGCATTCCCAGCTTTCTGCGTTTATGGCTTCAAGTGATATGAAAACAAATACCCAAACATATGAAAGAAACGTTTACTTCTTATTAAAGGAAGAATGTGCAACATTTTACACATGAATATATCAGAAATCAAGTCTATCCTGTGTAAATATCTCTGAGTCATGACTGTCTACAATGAGGGAGAAGCTCGAGTCCCGCTGGCTGTGTTGTTGTCAGAGCCGTGTTTACATGGACGAAACGGCCAGCCAGTGACTCCTCTTGTGTATAAAAGCTGTTTTAGTCAAGGACTATAGAAAAGGAGAAGATACTCACTGCTTATTTGAATGTCAAGTAAACATTTTTTGGATCATGGTCAATCTGTATCACTTTATGTGCAATATGAAGCTACAAACTAACTAAAGAGCGCTAACATTAGCCTGCTAACACAACAATGCAGGACGCAGGCAACTGCAGCTAGAGCCAAGGACAAGTTTGTTTAATTATGGCGCATTCCAATTCATAACTCCTTCATGTGAACTCAAGGAGAGAGGGGTTTGGGGTGTGCTTCTGGAGGAGAGCGGAGGCTTCAGTATGGCAGAGTTGTGGCCAAACAGCAGTTTGTTTTGGGTTCATGCTGGTGCTCAAGGGCGACATCTACTGGATCAAAAAGCTGCGCATTCTTCCTTTAAAGTGAAAACTACATGATTATACATTGAGCTTAGCGATTTAAGATTCCAGCTTTACATGTTTAGCTGTTTAATCCAGTGGGGACAAACTGTATGAGCTATGGGTTTAAAAATGCTTTTCTGCTGTTTAATTAATACAGAGAAAGACTGAGGTATATGTTCTGCAAAGGAACACTTAATAAACATGAATTAAAACATCTGAAAATCTGAGACAAAACATGAAAAAGGCTGTTTAAATAGGAGATTAATGATCAAACTGACTAACTTCTACGGGACTAAAGGACTGGACAGATATTGACAGACTCGAGCGGAGGGTCTTTGACATTACATTGTTGGAAACAAATGGCTGTTTTATAAAATAAAAAAAAACATTATATTCTAAATTTTATAATCCTCCAAACCATAACTATAATACCGTTTTAGGTGGTAAAAGTGCTGACTCTTTCTGACAGAGTTGGTATTTGAACATGATTAGCCTAGCTTAGCATAAAGGCTTGACTTTGGGGCGGGAAGAGCTCTAGAGAAGGCTCAGCCTGAAGGGAAGAAATTCAGCCTCTGACAGCTCTGAAAAGCTACAGTCGAAATGCTTCTTCCCAGGCAAAGACAATTTATTTAGCTTTAATTGCTGGATACATTTTCCCCTTTAACCTTATGCTAAGCTAGGCTAACAAAATATTGTCTCAAGCTCCAAATTTAACACATAGACATGACTGATATTCTTCTGCTTATCTTACATTTGGATGGACAGAAAATTAAGTGTTTTTCTTTAAAAATCTTTAAATCAGGGTTTCTCATTTGGATAACGTGTCGCATCACACACCATCACACTCTTGCTGCCCAAACTGCATCTGTTAAATATTTTATTCTCTGCTCTGTGAATTTTAGTTTCCCCTTGCCTTCAGTGTAACATCTAGTGCTTTTGTATTGAAGGTGGACAAACAGAAGTGTGGGGCTTTGTATTGACGAGCTGTTGACTCAAATCACAACACTCAGAGGCTCGTCAATAATCGGTCCATGGTGAGACAACATTTCAATCACGGATAAGGATATTATTAATGCACCACTGTCTCCACTAAACAAGCTAAAAAGCTCTGTTGAGTGAGAAAAGTGGGTACCAGTGCCTTGTGTTGTAGTCAAGTCCACACTAACCAAGCCCAAGACACAACCGAGACCAGAGTGCTCCAAGACCAAGACAAAACCAAGACATTTAGGGACAGAGACCGATTCAAGACCAAGACAAAGAAAGGGCTAGACCAAGACAAGACCAAGACATTTAGGAATCAAGATCAAGATCAAGGCTGGGCGAGACCAAGACCAGAAATATCACAAAAAAAATCATCATCTTGTGTGCAGGGGTGTGTCCCTAACTTAGACTGTAACACTGGGAAGGTTGTGGATGTAACCGGGGGATAAAATCTAATTACCAATAAATTAGAGCTATTTCTTCTTTAGAAAAGGGGGGAGTTTCCTTCTAATCACAGTAATGACTTGGAAAAATAGACTGAGTGGTGGTCTTGATTTAACATCTGGAGTCCGCCCAGTCTGAGACCAAGACGAGCCCTTCATAAAGTGGTCTCAAGACCAATTTCGAGTACCTCAAAACTACCAGTGCCTTGCAGAGCCCCCTCCTTATTGTTCTGTGTCTGTCTACCTGACCTTGTAGTAAGTGTCTCATGCCGTTAGGACAGGTTGTTAGATGGACCCGATTTCCAAATTTCCCAAGTCTCATGAGATTTGAGATTTAATACTTTTTACTAGATTTTATAAGTTTGATCCCTAAATATCAATATCTCATGACTAGAGATCAACATGATGAATCAAACTCTCACATAAGATCTGAAACACTGCCCTGTCTGCTCCAATGTTGTTACTCTTTCAATGTAGTTTATTGACATACATAAATAAATCCAATAATAATTTGTCTACAGTCTATCATTCACCAACCATCAAGTCCTAGGAAGCCTTGATCTGCTTGGCTGCTTCAGTCTTGGGCGGTATAATCTGAACCTGGAAGGGGACAAAGAACTCCAGAAGAGCTTTGGTGTCTTTCAGATCCAGACAATAATCTTGAGCAATCTTTTCCTGAGTCATGGTCTGAGGGTGTCGCTGGTGGCTGCTCAGGGCCTTCAGAGCCTCGGCGATGGTCAGTTTGCCTTTAGGAACGTCTGTGAGCTCCGCCAGGCCGTACGAGGCCCCCGGTAAACTGAATTTAAGAGGCCTTCGCTCTGATTCTTTATCCGCTGTATCTTCCTTCGACATCTGTAGAGAGGTAAGGTAGAGGAGAAAAAAATATATAAATGTCTGAGGAATAGATACTTCACTGATTTCCATGTGTCCAACACTTTAAACTAGAGCTGACTGCATTCACTAGTTAATCGTGATTAATGAAGGTCTGATGCATTCATTATTTTTAATCCTAATAAATCTCATGTTATTTTGTCCTTTCAGGCTTACCGTAGATACTTGTCCTCAGTGATGTAAAAGAAGAACACTGCTGCATCTTTGAATGTCTCATTTCACTTTAACAAACTCTCAGACAGCTCAGCTGATGAGTCCAAAGTAATATCCACCTCATGACATCACACATTGACCTTATGACATCACACATTGACCTTTGTTACTGTTCCTTTGAGCTGTTTGAGCCACTTCCTGTTTCTGTGCTTAACTTTATGTCCTAACCTTCACTCAACCAGAAACCTTACTTTATTTCAAAATAAAAGCAAACAGCAAGTAAAGTATTCTCAGCCTAGAAAACCTCACAAAAATACAAAATAAACTTGAAAGGAGCAATATGCAAGTCAAACACCTAGTGTTTAAAATGGGGTACTGCAGTCTAAATCTAAACATTAGAAAGAGCAATAAATGTGTAGTTTATTAAATAAAAATTGATGCATTATAAAAAAATCCCTCTCCTCGTACAGTGTGTGCTCATGATGACAATAACTCAGGATGTAAACATTTTAATTTCTGCTGTAAAAACAGCTTTTTTTGTCTGTGTTGTGTATGTGATTAAATACACACACATGCACAAACAGGACCCTATGGACCTGCACTAATGGAGAGATGTCAGAGTGAGGGGACTGCAGGTGAAAGAGGGGCAAAGCAGCAGGGGGTTCAGTGCATGCTCAAGGGCACCTCGGCAGTGCACCTCCAGCTAACAGACCACTTTGCAGACTTGGGGCAGCTGTGGTTGAGACCAGAAGGTCAGGGGTTTGATCCCCAGCTCCTGCAGCCACTTGTCCGATGTATCCTTGGGCAAGACACTTGACCCCAAGTTGCTCCCGCTGCTTTGTCAGCGGTGTATGAATGTGTATGAATGGATTAGTTACTTCTGATTGTGACTTTACATATCAGTCTCTACCATCAGTGTGTGAATGTGAAGATGTGACACTCGGTGTAAAAGATCTTTGAGTAGTCAGAAGATAGAAAAGCGCTAAAAGGACTTGAGCCTGTCAAGTCCTTTTACCATTTAACAACAAACCCTCCGATTCCCAACCCAAGACCCTCCTGACTGAGCTGCTGCCGCCCCCCAATGTGAATGTTTTAATGTTCGGGTTGCAGATGCAGACAATGACTGTCACAAAGATTTCATTTCTATAATATTGAAACAGTAATTGTCTGACAGACAAGTTATGCTAGTCTTCGACCTCATAAGTTTAAAGCTATTTCAAAGTCACAGACAAATGTGGTAAGTCAGAATAAATTCATGAGAGTCGTGTTAGAGTTGGGACAAGCGCTCTTGTTCTAAGGTCAGACCTCTGCTTAACTACATATACATCCAGTGCATGCATTATTTTAACCCCTCTTTCATTTATCTGAAGAATTTGTAGATTACTGTTCTTTGAATAAATCATTCACTGGGGGGTCATTTTGTACTGTTTGCACGTAACCTTTAGCTGAGCTGCTGTTTCTGTCTGCAAAGCAAGAGAGACACCAGAATGAATGAACACTAGTGTGACGTCACTTTATCCTGCCAAACAAACAGCATTAAAAAAGAGAACATTTAATAACCAGAGCAGTAAACACGAGTGACCCGGTCTGACCTCTGCTGCTGCTGGGTCTGTAGAATCCACATACACGGACCTGAGGAGGGACACAAGAGGGTCGTTCTTCTTGTTGGCTAAATCTTCCGTCACCGTCTCTGCAGCTGAAACACAAAACAAAACAGATCCATGAACCGGAGGGGAGATCTCGAGGTTTCTTAAGAGAGGTTAATGTGTACATGTGGATCAGAGGACTCAGTCCTGGTGTGACCCACAGCCGGAGGACAGTCCCTGCTTCTGCAGACACTCACCTACGGAGCCGCCGGCAGGAGGCGGGACGCTGCCCGCGTGTCGGGGCGCTGCTTGCGGCTTCTCTTTTGATATTTCTCGATAAACCCGGTTCTCCAGGTTGAAGTTTCTGAACATACGAGCAACTCGTGCCCCCATGTTTGACAGGTTACCAAAGACCGCTTTGGACGGAGAGCGAGGAGGACCAAACCTCATATGGCGAAATCAAAACCAGAATCAGCAGCGACACCGTGTGGTGGGCAGACTGTATTGTTCGTCGTTTAGTGATTTTCAAATTAATAAAGAATTAAAATATAATTTAGTATCACTTAGTCATATTGGAGACAGGAGGAGTTATTAAAGAAGAAGATAAATGATAAATAAGATAAAATAATAATATAATATAATAATGTCCATATGCTGATAAAAAAAACAACCTTTAAATCATAAGTCAGGAGGACCAAAGGTCAGGACTACGAGTCGTCAGTCCTCACAAATATTAGTTATAAGGAATTGTTTTCATTTAGAAAATTTAAATTGAGAAATCCAGCTGCTTAACTTTCTATCTCATAATAAAGACAAAAAAATATTAAATATATTTACAACTCAAAACCTTACAGTCTATGCTCAAAACAAACAAATGAGACATCAAATCTGGTACATTTGATGAATATCTAGTAGTGAAATTCTTCATAAAATATGACATAGATTTGTATTTTTTTATTTCATACAATTCAATTCCATTTTTATTATTTATATTCTTATTAAACGTGTTATTGTTTTATGTATTTGAATGGACTATTTCAATTGATATTTTTTATTGACATGGTAAATGGTAAAAGGACTTGAACTTGTATAGTTATTTTCTAGTCTTCTGTCTACTCAAAGCGCTTTTAGACCCCATGTCCAACCTACACATTTACACACTGATGGTAGAGGTTGTTATTTAAAGAGTCTATCAGAAGTAACTAATCTATTCATACGTCACTGATGAAGCAGCGGGAGCAACTTGGGGTTAGTGTCTTGCCAAAGGACACGTCGGATATGTAGGTACAGGAGCTGGGGATTGAACCCCCGACCTTCCGGTTTAAAGGCAACTGACTACCAACTGAGAGATCTTTTGTAAGTGTCTCAAGAAAACATTAGTTGTGAATTGGCATTATACAAATAAAGATTGATTGAAGTGAAAGTTTACATAGCGTGTGTATTTCTCGTACTATTTTATTACTACCATATTGTTCGACTTATACTTAATTACTGTAAATATGTTTGTTTTGAACTTTTTGCTATTTTTGCTGATTATACTTCTCTTTTTTTTGAGCTGCTGTAATAACCAAATTTCCCCCAATGTGGGATCAATAAAGTTGATCTAATCTTAATTTACATGCCTGAAAAGTAAGATAGGAGTAATTTAATAAATCTCACTCCTGTTTCTTCAATTTAATTTTTAATTAATTATAATAATAAACAATAAGATATAATTTTACATAGAATAATGAATCACACACACAGTGGCGCACTACTTTTATTCCTCCATGTTTTTCTATTAGTTTAAGTAAAACATAAATAAATAGTTTCACTTTTTAAGATGTAAAGAAATACAAAGGAAATCAACAATAGATGAAAATTTAAAATAAATAATATTTGTTATCAAACAGAGGAAGTTATATTAAACTTATTTAAAATGAAAATGAAATTTAAATGATGATATTTTGTTGATATAATAAAGTCATTATTCCTCCCTCAAACCATGTGCTCAGTTATTTATTCCTCGTCCAGCAGAGGGCAGCACATCATCTCCTAACAGATTAAATAAATCTTCATCTTAATAAAAAAAATGGCTGACATCATTTTGAGTTCACGTTGTATCAGTGCTGATATTAACCCCCAACAATCCTTGTTTGTCACCTGAAGGTTTCATTCGACGGAGAGAAACAGAAATAAACCAGTCATCACTTCCACGCAGGCCGAGGTCACACACAGAGGTCACCGCTTTATATAAGAGTGACATACTGAGCACATCTGGAAGTGATCATCTGCTAAATCATACCAAAACAACTCACAGCGTTTCTGTGAGGACAGGAATGTCAAAAATGTGATTTCCTTTCACTCACTCTCACTAATGTTTGACTCCAGATAAACGTCACAGAGTCAATGAAAGGCCAGAGCGCCTCAGACAGAGAGGCTTCTCGGTTTCATCACAGCTTGCACACAGCATAGTCAATAGCCACCAACACGACTGACCAGTGCCACATAAAGAGCTGAGACGATAGATTTATTAGTCATGATCAAATTCAGCTCTCCTCCCTGATGTGAGGATGATTCTGACTGCTGCTGATCATTTGTACCCAGAGTGTTTCTGACTGCATGGAGCGTAAATGAAACAGATCTGAGGCCGTCTGCAGCATGTGAGGCTCGAAGGATGAGGAGGAGGAGTTGATGTCTAGACCGTAGAGCTACAACAGATGTGTGTCTACATCATAGTCCTGCATGTCACTGTCTGTAAACTTTCATGGACGTTACTAAACACATATTTTCCTGGGTGCTCCTGAGCTCTATCGTCTCGTAGGTTCCTCTGGATCCTTGGTGGTGAGGGCCTGCAGCCTGTTTCCTTCTTCCTGCATCTTCCTCTATCCCTCTTCTCAAACCCGGCACAGTTTCAGCAGATGTCTGTTGATCATGAGTCTGGTTCTGCTCGAGGTTTCCTCCTCTTCAAGGAAGTTTTTTCCTCTCCACTGTAGATTTGCTAAATGTTGTTTAGTGCTCATGATGGATTAACGTTGGGTCTTTGTAATATCGTAATGAGAAAGGTCTGTTACCTGCTCTTTTTTAAAAGTGTCTTAAAATAACATTTGTTATGAATTGGCGCTATACAATTAAAGATTGAGTGATTGATCATCATTTAATAGACAAAACCCTTCTCTATTAAGGAAATCCGTCTGCACTCATTCAGGATCAACAAAGTCTGCTTTGATCTGAGGTTGATTTTCTCAACTTTGGGCTCAAAATGTCTATAATACCTAAAAGTGGGTTTTAACACAAGTCCCTTTTCTGACTGGGAAAATAGCCAATCACAGCACCTGGGGTGGCCAATCACATAGGGGAGCTGTGCCACCCCTGGCCACTCATCTGGACACGCCCCTGCTCATAGGCAGGCCTTAGATCGCTTCAGCCCACAGACGGTGATGTCACTTGACACAACACACAAAGGATGCACACTTATGCATGTAGTTATTTTATTTACAAATGGTAAAAAAAAAAAAAAGAAACAGTCCATAAAAATATATCTTGCTTTCACATATATATATACAGTACATTCAGGTGTATTTGAAGACGGGTGAGGCAGCTGTTTTTTTTTTGTGGCTAACCTTGAGATCTTTGACAGCAGGTAGCGCCTCTGAACTGGACAAAAGAAGAAAACTTCACTTCACACAGACTCTAAAGCTCCACAGAAGCTGTTTACATCAGAGGTGGTCCGTTTTTTATTTTATCTCGGCAAAACATCAATTCCTATTTGGAATCAGTTGTTTTTTCCTGAGCACCTCATACGCAGACCTTTAACAGGATTAGGGCCACTGTTAGAAAAAAACAAACGCTCAAAGATTCTCATAAGAGTTTAGGTATAAAATGTCATTTCTAAAATAAGGACGTTTAAAGAATGGTAAAAAAGTCAGACTTCAGTGTGTAAAAGTACCCGAATCTGCCATGTTCTTGGGCCTAAAGAGGATGGCGCTTGGAGCCAGCGTCCAGTGGCTCTGATCCGCGTTCACTATGTCTATAAAATATCTCTGAATTCAGCTTTAATCGCATTTGACAACTTTAAGGACCTAATTATTTTTTTTAAAAGTGTTTAAGTGTTCATATCAGGAATGTGATTTACCTAAAAAAAATTAAGTATTTGCTGATTTATAGATGTCTATTTCCCAATGTAAGTCTTTTCAGGCCTTAAGGCATCACAAGACGCTGCAATTCCAGGTACGGCCACCATGTTAAATTGGCTACAACGGGCAGCGCACTTCATGGGGGCTTGAAAAGGAGAGGGGGTGCATCCGTAGGACGGACATACTACCAGAGAATCTTTCTTCATGTGAACATTGGTAGACCCATCTCACTAGAAGAGTGAAACAAACAGGTACATGAGGTGAAGATGGCACACTAACTGATCACTAACCAAACCAGATGAACTTATTCCCTTGAGGCACTAATCAGATATCCCATTTACCAGCTAATCTACATTCTAATTCTTTGGCTAGCGACCAAAAGAATGAGATTGAGGAAATAAGTGGCTGAAATTAGTTTTCTCTGAAGGGTTGCTTGGCAGCGATCCGGCCCAGGATAACTGAAAGAAATGGATGGATGGATAGGATTGGATGGACGTGAGGTCACAGTGACCTTTGAACATCAAACTTCTTCTTAGTAAATCAGGTATATAAACACATTATGATTTCACATAAAAAGTTGTTGTTTTTTCAATCTCAGATCGATTCATCCGTGACTCCAGTAGGACAGTTATGCAAATATGAAAAAATGACCAACAACATTCTTCAAATATTACATTATGATATGATATTATTTATGAACATGGACATATGGACAGACAGGAGGACGGAGGATGAACCTGAACACTAAAATCTTCCAGCCAAGATTGTTGCCATTGCAGAGGCATAGAAACCATGAATGTGTGAAAACAAACCTGTGATTTAAAACAGATATCGATGTTAATAAGCTCCTAATGTCATGAGGAAAGAAATACATTTATAAAGTTTAACATTTAGAATGGCTCCAAAAGTGTAACAGCCATAAAAGAGTAAAATAGTAACCTTACACATACACAACAGTCTGCAGAGAGGTATATGTAGTAAGTATCATAGAAGCAGCTTGTCACATTTGGGACTATTTTGAGTGTCTAATCATGACATTTTACATTGATGATTCAACCCTTTTTGTGTTAAACATCTTGAATATTTATTTAGATATTTTTCAAAAATCAAACTTCAAGATAAGCTCTTGATGAAGTATGAATAAAAATGGCTTCAAAACATTCTGTCCAAGCCAAAACTAAGGACATGTGTGCAGATCAATTTTTCAGAATTTTATGCCTGAATTATAATTAACATGTCGCTAAAAGCCAAAGATCCTTGGTCGCACATTAAAGATCTACTATTCTCCCTCTGACTATTGAAGTTGGTCGATTCAAAAATATTCAAGAAGAAAACTGACTTTGAGAGATGTGTGATTTGGATGAAGTAGAAACTGAGTCCCATTTTCTTTGATATTTGACTATGAAGAGAATGACTGTTTCATGAAGTAGCTCGTCAAAAACCTGAAATATTGGGGTGGACAGGTGTGCAAAAACTGGAATGTCTGTTTAAGCTTGCTAATTTTGTCTCAAAAGCTTGGAAAAGATGAGAAGATAGTCGGTTTAATGAGGGTTTATCTTGCTTTTGCTTTCTCTGTTTGTTCCATGACAATGAATTGACCTCTGCACTCTGCTCCTCAAACGTCTGGGCATATAAATGAATGTATGACACAATAAAAACTTCAATTCAACTTACATTTAAGATTTATCTCTAAAAGTGGCCCAAATCCTCTGTTATAAGGTCGGGTTCAGGCTGAGGTGTTGGGTGCATTTCGTTCAACATGGCTGCTTTCACACTTGCATAAAACTCCTGAAGTTTTCCGGGTAAGCTGCATTATGTGACATACTTCTTACTCCTGCCAGCCCCCAAGTATTTTTTTTTTGGAAGGGGGTTGTCTACATTTTCTAGAACTTTTCAGGAGTGCATGTGTGAAAGCAGCTCATGTGATAGCTCATGTGATCTGAGGTTGGACGGCCCCTCCCGCTCGCTCCTGATGTTAGCACTGTGTGTGAGAGCAGGAGGAGTAGAGGTACAGTAAGATGAAGCAGTCTATGACGAGGACGGTGTAGAAGCATCGTTGTGTGTGCAAGCTCCGCCCCCTCTGAAAGCGAGTCAGTAACACGGCCAGCAGCAGGAAGAAGGTGGCCGTGTTCAGGAGGAGGAAGAGTCTGATGTAGGAGGCGGTGTTGGAGAGACCCTCGCTCCCCACTGTGGCCACCATGTGAACCTCCTTAAACTTGCGGCCTTTGACAAAGGCACCTTTTCTGTTTTTACGGCCATCTGGATAATCCATAAAGGCCCTGGAGTCTGCATCTCCCTCCTCTGGACTGTCCTCATAAGTACGCTTTGAAGTCCTCTGCCTCTCCTTCTTCTCAGTGACCTCGATCTGTGCAAAAAGATCAGGTAGACTTTCAGAAAGCTTCTCCCCAAGGTTCACCTTCCTTCCCCCTTTGCCCTTCCCCTGCTTTTTTGACATGGCAAACATCCTCTCGATTACCTCCTCGGTCTTCTTCTTGTCGGAGAACTGGAGGAGGCGCTCCGCGGTCTTGCGGAAGCTGGCGGTGTTGAGAACCCGTCCGAGGATGTGCCTCTCCATCTGCTGGAAGACTGGCTTGACGTGCTGGAGGTTGTCGTCCATCACGTTGACGTATTCCTCCACCTCCTCAGGTGAGGATTCCGCCACGGCCGCCGTTTTCTCAAACACGATCTTCTTGTGGTCCTGCAGCACCATGGCGAACAGCGGCTTACTGGTGACTTCTCCGGTCAGCAGGTAGATGGTGTAGGTGTGATCTTTGGTGGCCAGGTAGATATCTACTCTCTGATCGTCTCCACGCAGGCTGAAACTCTGTACATCCACGCCTGGTCCAAAGAAAATGTAGGCCACTCTGGAGTGAGGGTACCTGAGCGGCATAGTGACGTTCACATAGTTGGATCCATTGTACGGGTACCCTCGAGGGTAATTCCAGTACCCTGCCACCCCTTTGTGACTGAAGCCTGTGTCATCCATCCAGAACATCTTATATTTATCCTCCCCATGAGAAACAAATGCTCCATGAACTCCGTCTATCTTCGTCCCCTGGAACGGGAGCTCCGTGTTATGGAAGAAGGCGCTCATGGCCCTCGTTGGGCTGTCTGGATCCAGGTGGATGTGGTCCACCAGGAGCAGGAGTTGCGGGTGAAGGAGGAGTACGTTCCTCTGGAAGTTTCTAATCTTCAGCTCAGGGGAATAAGCAGAACTTCCCTCGCCACGGATGAAGACCATTCCCTGTCTCTCCAGAGCGGCCTCCACTCGGCCCTGGGCGTCAGCAGCCAGCCCCACCTTGTACCTCAACCACTTTGAATCGCAGACCTCTGTGACCTGTCCAGTCCACGGTTTGAAGCAGCTCCCTGACGTGGCCGAGCCGAACAGCACTGCATTGTTCAACAAAGTGTACTTGGGTCCGTACAGTGCCTCAGTGATGAACGGGACACCATTGGGCGCAAAGGTGAAAGAGTTCTGATCCGGGTGCTCGTGGCCGGCGTTAAAGTTCCTCCATCCTTTGATCCACTCTTTGTACTTGTTCTTGTGGACGATGTCGAAGATGGCCCGACCCCCCAGCTTCCCTGACTTGAAGGACAGGAAGGAGCGGTTGGTGTCTGCAGGTAGAGCACTGCCGTAAGTCACCACGCCCCAATCCTCGAAGTGGTGGAGTCGAGGTGTGCCAAAATCGGAAGGAGGCTTGGGAATCAGGTTGGGGTCATACCTGAAGAAAAAGAAACAGTACCTTTACATCACAGGTCACACCTACACATTCATGCCGTTAACCCGGCATTGCATTTTGCTGGATTGGCATACTAACAGGAAGCAGCAACAATTGTCAGGTTTTTCAAATTAAATGTTTTTAACTGAAGTGTAAGAGTTGTACTTTTGATCATGTACAGGGATGTTCCATCTCATCTATACATCGTCATGGAGACGACTTGTGGACACTTCTTACAGTTCAGTCTGAACGTCTTCAAAGCGAGACTGTGGAAGTGGCCAACTATCTTTCTTGATCAGCAACATGGATTGGCGCTGTCAGTCCGATATCCGATACGTAAATTACGTCAATATTGAACCCGATATGGATAAAAGATTGAATCGGTCCCATGTCTACTTGAGAGACGACCGACTCTACCACTCATCCACAGCCAACCAAATATTTAAATTCTCTGAAGTGTGAATATATCTTTGTACAATGTTTGTTCAACTTGCCTAATTTACTTGTACTAAACTTTTACGATTTTATATATTTTCCCAGAATCCCTTTTGAAAAGGAAAATCTGTGAAAAGACAAGTTATCTTATGGTGATCATCAGTGCTAATCATTAGCAATGGGCTGAGGTTCTCTTTTCCAGAACATTGAATACTGAGATCAGTCAGATGTTTTTGGTGTATTAAGGACCGATTTGCTGCCTAGCCAGTGGAAAGGACATAAAATGCACATTTGGCCTCGTATGGCCATGTTGAATTGAACTGTGTTGATTATTTAATTTTTTGTGAGAACAATTTAAATCACTATAAGTACAGCTTCTCCGTGTATTCTCTACATCTGCTTTCACTGTTTTTCTACCACCACAATGTGTACGCAGCTTTGGTGACGTAATGGTAACGTCTACTCAGAATTGGTTTAGTGCAAAGTTTGACGAAATGGTTTTTGAGACAACCTCAAAAACATAAAACATCCAACCAGGACTATTGCATGTCTGAAGACAATAAAGAAATAAATGTTTTCTTGAAAATACTTCCTAAAAACGTAATAAGTACAGCTCCTCCCACAATGAGCACGCAGCTGCTGTGAATTGGTTTTGTGCAAAGTTTGAAGAAGTGGTTTTCATGACAGTTTGAAAGATTGATAGATGAATGAACTCAGAAACATAACACCTCCAACCAGGATTATTGCATATATAAATGTAAAGTATTTAAACCATCGACATTATTCTTTTGGGTGAATTTTGCACAATAACTCAACAGGGCTTACATTTCGATTTCATCATATACTCCATTTGAAATGTTGCGATATCAAATTCAGCAGCTCACCATATGAACTCTGTGTGGAGTGTACACCATCTCTGTCCTTTCCCAGCCTGTCCCGGCCCCTCGATCACCCTGTTCTGATGAATCAGGTCTGCCAGCCAGTTTCCACTGCCGTTACGCAACACATAGCGGTCCAAGAAGACCAGCTGGCTCTCTGGACCGTAGAACCAGTTGTAGTTTGAATCTGCGATGGCTACAGTCCGCTGAAACCCTGGTGAGAGAGTAAAAAAAAACAGAGAACAACTTCAGTGACGGCTCAGAAATGTTGTGCAGACATTTTTACATTTCATGTTGATGTCGTCTGCAGTGCATAAAGAAATCATTTTGAACCACATGTCTATTCTCAGAACAAAATAATTGGGCGCAGACCCCTCTGCTGTGACCCAGCTCCGTCCCAAAGCCGGTGCTTAGTGTTCACAGTTCTGTTGTCTGTAATCATGTAGAGAAAGCCTCACACTTGGTGGTGACAGAGTTCTTAGAAACCATCTATAAAAACTGCAGCGTGCAATCACAGGCAATTGAAGTCAACCAGAAGTTATCATACAACAACTATTACAGGACAAACACGCTCTCTTTTAGTAAGACTGAAGAACAAATGCATTTCTCACCACATTAGTAACAGGTATTTGGGGTTTTGCAAATGCAGGTTAAGCGGGGATTATTGGCCATAGGTCGAGTTTAAAACAACCTCATTGGACCGAAGTGCTGTGCAGGTATAAAACACAATATACAGGTATGAGTACAATTAACAATAAAAGCGCTATAAAAAACCCCAATAGGGGTGCCGGTGGTGCAGTGGTTAGTGCGCACGCCCCATGTGCAGAGGTTGTAGTCCTCCAAGCGGGTGTCCAAGGTTCAAATCCAACATGTGGCTCCTTTCCTGCTTGTCATTCCCCACTCTCTCTCCCTGATTTTTGACTCGACTCGATGTCGACTGACACCATACAGAAGTAATATTACTGGATTTTGCGCAAATATAACTCTGCTAGCTTCTACAGCCCGTTGTAAAGACAACTTTTTGACATAAGATGGATTTATCTATTTTTTTGTATCAAACCTGAGATGAAAGTTGGGCTTGTGACTTTCTGCAGCTGGTGAAGCTGCTAAACACGAGACAACGATGACGCTGATAACGATACAGCCTAACGGTGTGTCACAATCTGTTCTGAATAATTTCAGAATCCAGTATGTTCTCCTTCTAAGTTTAAATACTGGACTTGCACTTCTACAGTCTGCTTTTTGTCAACAGACTGCAAGCGCACACACACACACACACACACACACACACACACACACACACACACACACACACACACACACACACACACACACACACACACACACACACACACACACACACACACACACACACACACACACACACACACACACACACAAACACGGTTAGGAGATAGCAACCGTCAGCATTGCTAAAGATGCAGTTCATGATAATCCGGCCCTGTCTTCCTGTCTACTGGCTGCTGTAATTAGCGGTGCTTTCTGAGTGCTGCACTGCTGCTCTGCCACAATACAGAAACTGTTGGCAGGGGGCTGTGAAATGTCCGAGTCTGACCCAGGGGGCCCCTTCCTCTGTGGCTGCCCTCCCTTTGACCTTCAGGAGAGACTTCCAGGACTTGAGAGATCCCTGCAGGTCTGAGCTCAGCGGCCAGGAAGGGAATGACTACACGCATGCATACCTCACGTCAGCTCAGAGTGGAGACTCTCTGATGTGGCAGCCTCAGGTGATTTGAACATCTAATCTAATATAGAGAAGTTTTTGGATGGATGACTCTGGTAAATACTAACGACATGAGTCAGCCATTCACAGTAAGTGAACATGGAAACATCTGCTCTGGATTTGGCTGAAGAAATAAAGCCACTGCAGAGGAAAGTGTGCCAAACCTCACAGCTGTTTAGATATAAACATGAGTTCTGTTACCGGGAAGGATGGTCCGGTACATGAAGGCGAAGTGTTTGAGGAGCCAGGGGTGGTCGAAGTGTCCGATGGCGAAGTGACGCTGCACCAGGTGCATGTACTGGAACAGAGAGCGGGTGGTGTACGTCCCATAGGCCACTCCTTCAAACAGAGAGCCGTCCGTCACATCCTGTAGGAGGACCATAGACTTCTCCATGATGGACAGAACCTGCTTGGTCCACAGGTAGGCCTCCTGCAAGTAGCCTGGAAGAAGAGGAGATGGTTTACAGGTTAAATACAGTCTGAGGTTTATCTGTCATGACTGCATACAAGACTACAACCAAATTTCCTCTGGGGATATCATGCTTGTGGTACAAATTTAGGGCCTGCATCCATTTTTTTTTACAGGGAAAAGAGCATCGACCTTCAGGAGCACTTTGATGAACTTTACCATTTGATCAGCTGAGACTAAAACAAAGGTTCATATTTATATGCGTGTGAAGTACTCTGGAGGGTTTGTTACTGGAAGTGAGTCTCTGCAGTGTGAGTAAGATAAATAGGAGGATGTAGGAAACAGAGGGAAGTAAGCGCAGCCCTTGTGTTGTGAAGTCAGCAGAAATATGAACCGATTGTGTCAACTTTTGTATTTCTCGTAGTTCAGATTAATGACTTCTTTAGATGTAGGACTCCCACAATGCCACCATGTTCTCTCATTATCGACAAATAAAAGACCTCTTCTCTGAATCAATAGTTGTACAGGATGTCAGCATGAAATTCACTTGGCACAACAAATGAACATCCGCTACTGACATCGGGGTCAAGAAACATTAATTGCAGATGTCTGTCAACAGGGCTTATATTGGCCGATTTTCGAACCGATGCATCACGAAAAAAAAACCTTAGGCTATTTGTCGAGGGAACCGGCGTTAATTACATATCTTCTGGTGAACTCAGGAAATTCTGCCATTTTCCCTAAAAAAAAAACATAATTCAAGCCAAGGTAGTAAAATCCTGATTTATAACTGATTAAATAAGTGAAAATAAATCGATCATGTGCTGCAAACTTGGTTAAAGTTTCCCCTAAAGAATCAATCGAAGTGCTCATCATACTGAGAATAAGTTCAGAGAAGAGAGAGTGAGAGACCGAGGGCCTGATTCACTAAGAATGGAATGTGGCCGCTAACAGCTAAAATTTTCTTGCGTCATTAGCTCCTTCTCTTTGCTGCGATAATTTGAACCAGGGCCGACCCTTACATGTGGACGCACACTTACCACTAGGATACCAGCAACCCTGAATGAAGTTTTGAGCCACTCACTTGCCTTGGACTGATCATACTCCTGGTTACATTACTATATATTAAAACAATTTCAAAGTAATATTTACATATAATTTATTTATATATTTTTAAGTCATACAAAGTTTGCTCGTGACATCTCTTACACATTCACCACGGTCAAGGGGACACTTGCTGTTAGCGCTGGTGTTTGTGAATAAGATGCTTTTTACAATGTTGCTGATATGAATAGAAAAAGGGCCAGTTTGTCCCCAAATGACTTCATGATGGTTCATTTGAATACGTGCACACAGCACCAGTGCACAGAGACGCTGTTTGCTCTGCAGCGTAGTAAGGGGAGCATTCAACCATCCGAGTGTGTTTAGTGAATTTTGTCTTTCTGACTCACTAGCAAAGGGTTAGCGAGCGCAAAAGCCGTGCAATCCTATTATGAATCAGGCCTTGAGCATTATAAAATGACCAGGGCCTCATGATTTAGAGGCAAGATGAAAAACACAAAACAGCGTTGCAGCAAACACACTCGTCTCAGTCTGTGACCTAAAGAAACCTTCCACACACGTCCATGGAAATCATGACACTTCCTTACAGCACTCTGCAGTGTGTATACTCACACACACACAAACACAGATCACACACAGAGTTTACTATGAGAGCGAGTGACCACAGAAACACTCCAGCCTCACCCATTGAGGAATCCTGAGACGACACCCGCCCCCTCCAGTCAGAGGGCACCCACTGGAGCTGTCCCCGGCTCTGTTTGGTTTGGGCTCACACAGAGCACTTATTTACTGTCAAACAGGAACACTTGGCGCGCACAAAGAACATATTTACAGCAACAGAGTGTCGGCAGCGCTCACACTGCAGAGCCCGAGCGGCTCGGAGACGCTTCAGTCACTTTCCTCAAACGTCAAAACATTAAATCACCCATTAAACATTTAAATGGATGAAGTTATGACAGCTGCAGAGAAAAATAAACATAATTAGTTTTAAAAAAGCTCTACCGTGTTTTTAAAGTAAATCACACAATGTATTTAATGCTGCATGCATGGATTAATTTGGCCAATTGGAGGAGACATCCCATAATATAAGTCCACAGCATTAGTGACAAACGTGTTGGGGAAACTACATACATGGAGCCCTGCGTTAGCTCAGGCAGAATACAGTAGTCCTGCCCGCAAGCGGCCATCAGCTGATCTGAGAACCGCCCCAATACCAACCAATCATTATCACACTCTGACAACAAGGTGCTCTGTTTAAACCAGTGATACTCAACCCGAGGCTCTCCAGCCACATGTGGCCTATTTGGGACTAGTTGTGGCTCTTTTAGGTCCTACTTGGAAAAAAAAATCCAAATTAATTATTTAAAAAAGGGAAACATTGTCAGCAGAAATTATTCTTTGCAAGTCATGTCACTGTGTTTCCACACACATTTTAGGAAAGGAAGCGTTTTTTTGATTGTGGCTCTTGCAGAAATATTTTGTTGGAAAATGTGGCTCTTAAGTCAAACAAGGCTGAGTACCACTGAGTGAAACCATTCTGCCTCTCACTCCTCCTGCATCACATCCACTCTGCTGCTAGATAACTGCTGTGCAATTCTCCCTCCACCACCCAAACCTCCACCTGCTTCAGTCAGCACTGTTCTAGGATGAATTGTTTGCTTCTTATGTCTGCAAGATGTCAGCATCATTACATGCACATTCAGGTTCTGTTCTGCATGTCTTCACTGCATGTCCCCATGGGGGGAATCAAATGTTTGCGCTGTCAGCAAAATCCGTGGCATGCTGCACTGATACTGCTGAGAGCAGAACCAATACTGCCAAATACATCTGTACAAACCATAAGTACAGCACAAGTACAGGTGAGGCAGAGATACTTCAGCAAAATACATGTGGCTGGGTTGAACATACCTGGGTCCAACCAGCCTCTCCAACCAGAGGGGGGGGGGTGATCTCAATCTTTATTATTGAAAATCCAGATTTTTCACAATTATGATTTATTGATAAACTCTATTCAATGGCCAGTCCTAGCATCAGGTCAGGATTGTTTGTTTTTATCATATGAACAAGAAATTTCAACACCCCTAATCGATGTATGTTGTGAAAAGACCCGGGGAAGATGTTCTCCTTAATGTTAGCTCGTGGAGAGCCTCTTGTCCAATCAGATTGCTTGGTCTGAATTTACTGTTGTATGATGAAATATAGAATGATGGACTTCATAGAAGCAGAACTTCCCAAATGTATTAGCAGGATTGAAAGTGACCCAAAGGTCGTGCATTACCCTGACAGACATTACACAGCGTGAGAGCGTTGTAGCTCACTGTCGATGAACTGAGGTACAGCTTCAAGGCAGAAACAAGCAAACACATGCAGCAGGAATGTTCTGGTTATCTAAACCAAAGTCTGTCAGAGCTTTTGCAGAGCCAAACGGCGTGCTGATTTCTGTTCAGTTATGAGTGACACATGAAGTGTTCAACCGTTAGAGCGTGTTATTTTAAGGAACAAAAAGAAGAAAAAGAAACAAGTCAGCAAAACTCGTGGAGCCTGTGGATAAACAATGGAGAGAATTTCTGGAGGGCTTATTGGAAACTTTCCATTGATTCACAGCCGTCCAGAGAGAATAATATTTGGACGTTATGTCATCACTCTGCACAGGAAATGATGATTCTTCTGCAGTGAGGGACTGTACGCAGGGTCTGCACAGTGTTACAAGTGACACCTGAGTGAAGCTAGTTAGATAAAATAGCTTTTTTGGCTTTTTGATTTAAAGCAAAAACATGTAAGCTATGTTGGAACCAAACCATAACCTCCGGTGTTTATAAATGAAGCCAATGCGGAAATGCAAAATCCTGCAGTTCCTCGAGTGTCCACTTGAGGCCGGCTGCAGAAGCACAGGAAGTCACATTGATGCCTTTTCATAAAAGCCTTTTTTACAGCAGAAATGAACATGATTACAGCCTGGTTCAAAAAACAAAATAGTTCTGATTAGCTCATGTTTCGATCGGCACACACTGTACGGGGATGAATATTTTGATAACTCACACGTTTTGATTTCTGAACGATAAGAGTTATTCACAATAAGACGCGTAGCTGACCTGATTGACAGGCGAGCACTGTGTAACAGTTTGTCAGGAGGCTTAAAACCCGCCTCAGCTCCAGCTCTCAGCCTGTTGTTAGGTTGACTGAAAGTTAGACTGAGACAGGATTTTCAACATGGAAATCCATCGATGAGACATTGATGAGACTCCAAAGCCCCCTCCAGGAACAGATTGTTGACTCAGGCTTCGTCCATTAATATTTACAGTCGATGGTCTGACTCTGAAGTTTGTTTTAAAGTCCCTAAACCGGGGCACAGGGCGGCCAAGTGGTTATGTGGTGTGCCCCATGTACAGAGGCTTTAATCCTCATCGTAGTGGCCGTGGGTTCCGAATCCGACCTCTGCCCTTTGCTGCATGTCATCCCCCTACTCTCTCCTACCAACATTTCCTCTCTCTCTTCAGCTGTCTGATCCAATAAGGGGAAAAAATGCCCCCAAAAATATCAACAACAAAATAAGAAAAAAAAGTCCCTTTACCACCTCTGGATCTGACAAACAGCTCGGCTCCTGCCTGGTCGGTTACAATATCATCTGGCCTCAGCAAATCTTTTATCGTTTCTGTTTTTAAAGTTAATTTCTTTTTTGAAATGGAAAATGAAACCACTTTTACTCATCAACATCATCATGATCATTACCTCAACCATAAAAAAGAAACATAGCAGGTATTTCAGTTAAAATGGTAAATGGACTTTTTCTAGTCTTCTGACTACTCAAAGTGTTTTTACACCGCATGTCACACCTACACATTCACACACTGATGGTAGAGACTGCTGAGTAAAGAGATCATCAGAAGTTACTAATCCATTCATACACATTCACACACTACAGACGAAGCAGTGGGAGCAACTTGGGGTTAAGTGTCTTGCCCAAGTACTCATCGGACATGTTGCTGCAGGAGCCGGGGACCGAACCCCTGACCTTCAGGTGGAAAGACAATCGACTCTACCACTGAGCCACAGCCGCTTCTTGTTTAAATTTTTCTATTTGAAAAAAAACCACGTCTTTAATTTATGAATCTCTGAGTCAGAACTGTGAATCCAAAGACAAAAAAACACACTGGGACCTTTGACATATGAAACATTTAGCTATGTTGTGAAGTCTGGATGTGACACATTTCACAAATATTAAAGAAATAACATCACAACAAGTGAATGTGTCAGTAGATGCTGCAGAACATTTGGAGTTTTATGGGTTAAGCAGCTGCTCTCTGCACGAGCTCTGCTGTAAAGCTCTCCGTCTCCTCCCAAGGTGTTCCAGACAGCCAGAGCTGGACCAAAACTCACTTTTTCCTCGGCTCGGGGCAAAAAAAAAGAGGTCGGACTCCAACTCTCCTAACTGTTCACAGAGTGCTGAGTCTGTTGTTGCCCCTCTACAAATAAAACCACAGTGACCGCAGTGAGCCTGCTGTCATTTGGTTCCCATCAGGACCGAATCTTTTCTGCCAGGAATCAAATCCCTGTAAGCGAAAGTGAGCTGTACCGCAAAGCATCCACCTCCTCATGACCCACACTGAATATTTAGTGCAGGATATTAAAACAAAGAGAAACACTGAGCTGGGGATAATCATGTTGGCACTCAAAGGGGAACGCATGGAGAGGAACAGATCACAGAATAGAACCTCCTCTGGACAACAATAACACAGATCAGATAACATCGGGCTGAGAGTCCAGGCAGAGACACTCATAAAGAAACTGAATCATGTGAACATATCGCCAGTTGTATCCTCAGCAGGTGGAAATCCTCTGAATCAGCCTTTAGACCACACAAGCTTCATATCCACAGTGTGAACTGGACTAATGAGATTCCTTCAGTCGGCCTGAAGCTGTTTAGTGCTGAGCAAAGCACGTTTCTAATCCTCCAACTCGCACACAGAGCTGCTGTTATTTTATTGAACCAGGTTGGTCCCATTGAGATTAAGAATCCGATGAAGACCTGGCCAACAGATACAAAAGCAAAAACACAAACTTACAGACCGAGACACAAAGGGAGACAAAGTACGTTTTTCTGCAGAAAGTCCGAGTGGGAACACAGCAGGATATTATCCGGAGAATTTAGCTCGAGCCAATAGGAGGAGGGGGAGTGACGTTTATAAACTCTGACTGCTGTGTGTATGCATGCCACTGCTACGGTCTCCTGTTGCATTATGTTTTGTGTTTATCAGTATGTTGTTCTCTGCTCTTTTGATGACAGAGTGAGTCTGTCGAACTACACGCAGCATTGTTATAAAGGCAAATATTCTTTTTATAGCATCATATAGCAGACTCCATTACCTTGTCCGCATCATTCTTTTTACGTCAAGTCTCACCTCAGGAGACCCCCCTCCCGTCTGACAGGGAGAATCAGGATAATATCCGGAGCAGTCCTCCTGAAATTGTCTTTATATTTTTCAGGAGTGCAGATGTTAAAACAGCTCATGAGTCAAATCTGGGATTCAGTAGTTTAGGAAGTCGAGCTAAAAATTCTTTAGAATCTGCTTCCAGGTTTTTTATTTTAGATTTAAAAACATTTAAGGACACTAGCTCTTTGAGTTTAAAGTCCTTCTGCAACAGAATCCAGGCTGCAGGCTGCAGGCTACCCTGCAGAACTATAGATAGTCAGCATTTCTTCTGAGGATGGGTTTGTCTACAGTTATCAAGGGACTTTATAGTGGCCGGGGTCTCCAGCCCTTTTTTGTTTCATTCTCTTTTTTTTACTTTAGTTTGAGTATTTCTGGGAGGGATATTTACAGACAAATAAAGCTCAGGGTTAAAACCTTAAATCTGTGTGGTGTTCTTTATGTTCTCGTCTCTTTTGTTGTTTGGTTTTGGTAACGAATATTGAATAATACAAGTATTTTTTCTGGTTTAATTTTGGTTTCATATTGAAAAGAGAAAGAACGAGTGATGCACAGATTTCTTTTCCAAGAGGTTCAGGTTAGGAGGTCTGGTGACAAGAATACAAATGATCATCTAGAGCTTTAAAAATTGTAAAACAATATCAGTGTCTGGTTGTAGACTTTAGATCAAACCAATCAACGTCTTTGTTCCACATAAAAACACACAACACAGATGTGACTCTCTCTCACCTTGTGTCATGAAAACCAGGCTTCCTGTGAGCAGAGCCACACAGTTGGTAGGCTGATGGTTGTGCAGGTACTGGAACCCCCAGCCTCGCACGTACGACTTCTCGTACATGAGGCGCGACGCGTTGCCGATCACCTGCAGGAAGCGCTCCTGCTGGCCCTTGTTCAGGTACTCGTAGAGGAAGTCGTAGGCGGTGGCAAACCCGACCAGAGAGTGCGCCAGAGGAACCTCGTCCCAGGGGGCGTCTTTGACCAACCTGCAGACACAGACAACGACAACGAGCTGAAGAAGAATGCATGGACATATGTGGAGCAGGTGGAGACGTTCAATGGTAAGCAGGTGTGAAAAAAACTAAATCCTGGCAAACCATTTAACACGGACGAGAAGCCTTTCCACTGGAAAAGCTTTTCATTATCTTTAATTATCACAGTTGTAAAAACCTCTAATCACTTTGACAGCAAAACATAAAGGAGCTAAGTAGCATTTTACACCGCACTTACAGCTGCAGCAATAAACAGACGCTATAAAGACACATTCAAAGTGTGGCGTGTGCAAATTCTCTCCGGGGTTAACAGGCGCTCCGATCCGAGATGCTGATTCTGTGAATTTTAGAGTGATCATCATGGCCGTAAAAAAAGAGCCAGAGGTGTTTCATTATCGTTTCGCCCAGACTTTAATTGAAGAGAAATGGACTTCAGATGTGGTGATGGAAATTAAATCGCTTTTCTGAATTACTGTTAGTCGAGACGATAAATCATGCTGATGTTTCAATAAAGGCTGTGTTCAAATCTTAACAGAGCGACAGATTCTTCACCTAACCTCCAAGTGCAGCTGCCAGTCTTTTTACTGATTTACGGTCTTTTCTTTTCATCCCTTCTATTCTTTTTCTATTTTAACTTCTTTTGGTGTGCAAAGGAAATAAAGGTAAAGTAGAGGCTGCTTTGTAAAGTAAACATCAGTATTATTAACTCATATGTACACACATAATACACCACCGATGAAGCAGCAGGAGCAACCCTGGGTTAAGTGCCTAAGGACACATCAGACATGTGGCTGCAGGAAATGGGGATCGAGCCCCCGCCCAGTTGAGTCTGTGGGGCCGACAGCAGGTTTTTCTTACATGATAAAACAGAGATTTAATGAACTTTTTGAACTAATTGTCACACATTTGGTGACAACTTCTTGAAGGTGAAGTACATAAAAGAAAGTGTTGGTAATAAAGCATGTAATAATGATCGGATGCTGTTCATACATGGTTTCCACATGTTAAGTGGCAGCTGAGGTTTTATGTGTAAACCACGTCCTGTCTGATCATGTAAATGAAAACCACATGGATTAAAGAGCTCCTTTACGTTGCACCATAAGGCAACACATACAATGAAACAAATGCTAAGTTCCTGTTGAGGGCTGTACATCGGGGTCAGCACGTTGCTTTCTGTATGTTTTTTGTTCACAGACTGTTAAAAAACAGAAGGAGCATGCAGCAGTCTGCCACAAAGCAGAGGCTGTCCATCGAGAACATGTTCCTGGAGTTGTCAGAGACATAATTGAAGGTCATGAATACCACAGCTCCCTGGTTCCTGGAGCCGCTCTGCACAAACCCTCAGAGGTTCAGTGACCATAATAAAAGTGCGGCCGCGAAGGAAAACTCAACAAGAGTGTTCTGCAGACGTGAAAACACATGCTCGGCGACCTCTCCTTTTCTGCACCGTGGCACACACACACACACACACACACACACACACAGGCATCCTGCAAACGGCACTCATTCCATCTAACCGTCTAAAACCCCCCACCCAGGAATGAGCTGCTGGAAAATCCCCCGTCCTGCTGCCCAGGGGCCGGAGGCAACACAGCAGTCATGCAGCAAAATAAGAAGGATTAAGCTGCTAGAGCTCCCCCCCCCTCGCCCTACATGACAGATGAAAGAGAAGGAGGGGTTATACCTGCATGAGTCCCATAGCCGGTCCAAACGTGGACAGGGAAACAGACTGGGCTTTTAATGGCTGAAGTCGTCGGGGGGCACACAAGGACAGCCTCAGTGTCAGGAAGGATCCGTATAAAGAGCAAGCTTTTTGTTAAATAGTTTAATGCTTCCTTGTCGGGCTGCACAATTAATCCCAATTTCATAGTTGAAGGCATATGAGCATTTACAATAAACACGCTAGAGATGTCTGCATTGTTTTGCAATAATCAAGCCATGCCTTCTCCCTCGGCATGCACACATTCAAAGCCACTGTTATGTTCGTCCCTGTTCTCTCTCTCTCTCTGTTTCTCTCCCTTCCTCTACCTGCTGCACACCTGTTCTCTCTCTCTCCTTGATTCTCCCTCCACCTGCTTCACACCTGAGTGCAATCTGTGTTCAGAGGAGGAGGAGGAGGAGGAGCCAGGTAGGAGAGACTCTAGCATACACACTGTAGGTAGCGATGTGGTGAGTCCACCTTTTGTTCCCCTCTTTACCTTCTTTTCTTTTTCCCCCCTATCCAGGTCTTTGTCCTTCCCAAGCATGTTGGGGTATTTGGTCTTTTGTTAACTGTGAGTCATTTGGGAATTAAAGTGTGTTTGTTAGATTAGATTTGCCTTTCTGGGGCTTTGTGCTGTGTCCCTCCTGTCTGGTCGGAGGTACAGGCTGCCCAGGACAAAGACCAACACATACAAATTCTTGTATGTTCCAGGTGCAATATTCTTAATTTCCCTTGAACCATGTCATGAAGTGAGCACCTACCATCCTCAGAACAACAGCACATAGTGTGCTGTTCTTTATGTTTTAACTATTGTAGAGTATCTTTGAGTTTTTAAAAGCGCTTATAAATAAAATGTGTTGTTATTATTATTATTATTATTTTCAGCCACAATTCATAAGAAACTACTTTAAAGCTGCGTTCAGTCCAAAGCTGTCAGGGGCGTGTCCAGAGGGGTGGCCAGGGGGGGTCATGGGCCCCCTTGGAAATCTGATTGGCCAAGCCAACAATTCTAAACAGTGATTGTCAGGTACAGTGAAGATCTGAACTAATAATCTTGTTTTAGTACCCGTCCTTTATTGGGAAAAGGCTGACAGTGTGCGCCGGCAGCTGATTGGATGGTAGCTGGTGCAGTGTGTGTGTGCATTACCGGAGGGAGGCTGAAGGTGCCAGTTTTTGAAAGGGAGCGGCGAAAGCTGGAACGCTGCCCGCCTTCTTCCTCACCTCCAAAGACAGATGGGTAGTGAGAAAGAATAGTGTGTTTGCTTAATTTGATTTATTTCAATAATTGTAATTTTGTTGTGCAGTCCGTGTAGGGTGTAGGGTGTAGGCTGTAGGGTGTAGGGTGTAGGGTGTAGGGGAGAGTATTTACTGCAGTTTGTGTTTTAAGGCTCATAACCGGGATACTCAAGTCCATGTAAACATACTCAAAGTCACGGACAAATGAGCAGAATATTTGTGCAGATTTTTTAAGCATTGAATATCTTGTGAGTTCTAACTTAAATTATCGATGTGTTATGTGGGATTCTGTAAATTCATGCAAATGAACAGCAGAAGGTCACCGTGAATCTTCGAGCATGATTTTCTGAGACCTCCAATCCTTTAGTGTGAGAAATAAAAAGCTTTGGAGAACAAAGACTCGGTGAAAGGCTGTAATCCACTTCAGCCACTTTGCACTTCCCAGGCAGAACTAATGTTCATTGAACTTAATCGAATTGTGAGGGAAATGAGGCAGCTCTGTTCACGGGCCGAGGCCTGCGTGACGCTCAGACGTGCTCGACTCTAAAAAGCCTGGGACCAAACCTGAGCTGAATGGATACATCCAGATGACTTGGGCTTTGTACTTTCCACAGTATCATGTATAGTACGTTTGCTTTCTTTGTAACTGGTTCCTACAGAATCTGAGTTTCTGTGTTGATACATTGTTCTGTTTCTGGAATTATAACAAAACTGGCAAATGTCCATCCCGTTAACTTTGCAATTTGTTCCATCTGAAAAGTCCAAAATCGGGTTAAAATCGTGCTTTTAACCTGAAGTCTGACCTTGTCATGACATAAAGCAATCTGTGAGCTTCTACTCAACTGTTTCACTTCTATAATCTTTGGACAAAAATAATGAATAGAAACTGAATGTACTCATTGATCTTAACCTGGTGTGATAAACTTAGAGCCAGACCGATATGGAATTTTTGGGGCCGATACACATATCAATTTTGTGTAGAGAAAAAATCCGATATAGATATATTGGCCGAAATATTCCTTAGATCTATGTTTGATATGTAGAGATAGATGTACACATTTATTGTGTTGATCCCTCAAATGCAGTTATCAAGCACTTGTGGGAAATATATATAATGAAGACAAGATGGTCACTCGACTGGAAAGTTACTGAGCATGTACGTGCATCACTGCTTGACACTCTGGAGAGTGATGATGTTTGTTGTAATCCATATAGCGCGTTCTGCTGGTGAAAGAGAACTGCTACAAAAATACTCGAATAAATGCTGATTGACTGGTAAATAAATTTTGTAATATCGGCGTATATATGTGATCAAATTAGCCGATAGTCACTGGATATGCTAATATCGGCTGATTAATCGGTCGGACTCTAGATAAAATGCCTCCCCACATGCAGACACTTCCATACATCCATTGTATGGATACCACATTTTCCCATTTGGGGTCGTGGGAGCTGGAGTCGATCACAGCTGTCATTGGGTGAGAGGCGGGGTTACAAGCTGGACTGGTCACCAGCCAATCACAGGGCTGACATATAGAGACAGACAACCAGCCACACTCACCTTCACACCTACGTGTTGCTTATGCAGACAAGTAAAGATGATACTTTTATTTGAGACTGTTATGTGATCCGTGGGAACCCTGTTTTAAGAAAGTGGAGTAAATCCCTGTCTGGTCACCTTGACCCTGAGCTTCTTTCTCAGCAGTGGGCGATTCAGTTCACATCTGAACATTTCATTTCCTTTCATCTGGGGGGCATGCTCAGCAAACAGCTGCTAAACATATTTCCTGGACCACAGACCTATCAGACCACAATGCATCTCTACCAGAACTCTGCCCACAGAGAAAAACGAGAACCCTCCTGAGATGTGACGGACGATGAAAGCCTCTGAGGGGGAGGATTAACTTTAAGACCAAGATGAAGCACACATGGGGGGGCGGAAACAGAACTCAGGTACCATCTGTGTAACTCTCCAGAGATTTCAAGAATACAAGAAGAATACAGACAGAGAAAACCTTACAGGTAAATCTAGGGAGATTCAAACCTGGGCTTTTCTACGGGAAGTATAGATTCAGATTCATCCGCCATGACACGGGCTGGAGAGGCTGCATAATAATCCCTGTGACAAATGTGCAACTCAGAGGATGTGAACTTTCACATCTGGGTGTTACATCGCAGAGTCGACTGGGAAAAACATCATTTAACCTGGTAGATCACAGGAGTTACTGGTCCACCACTCGTTCAAACAGGGTGTGATCGTAGAGACAGACTGGTGTGATTTTTAAGATTGATACATGTAATGATTTCAAAGCTGACTTCCATTGTCTGCCAGTAGAGTCAGTTTTTTAATGTTAATATAATGTGTTGGTCACAGAGTTTGCACCGTAATGGGTAAGTAAAGTTAATCATAATTTAGTTACAGTTAAACCTAGAATTTTATGACAATGTTCACATTCAAATATCTAAATGAATAAAAGAAATGGACTAAACCCAATGTTATATTTTGTTGTTGAGCACTTACATCACCTGAAACATTTCAAACAGTTATCAAAGCCAGAGAAAACGGTCATTTTATAGCAGCAACAGGACATGTCTTGCCGTGGCATCTGCCATTACAGAGCCGCCATGGCCCATGACAGACAAATTGTGTACCATTGCCGTGGAAACACCAGATGTTACATCGAAGAGGGTCACTGTCTTCTGTGCTGAAAATATACACCTGGGGTAGAAGTAAAAGTACGCTGCTCCTACCACACTGGGAGAGATCGAGAGTACAGGTACAAGTCGTCCAATCAAAGTATCATCATTTTGTGTGATGTCATTTTTTCTCCCTGCGATTGTTTTACGATTATATTTGCAGTAATATGGTATTTATTGTTTTCATGTCTGCACGAGTTGAGAAAAACAGCTGCAGCCTGTCGCCTTGATTCCAATTTCTGGTTCCTGTTTGAGGATAATTCAATGAATTTAAAGAGAGAAAACGTTTTGACTGAAAGTAATGAGGACTTTTTATTGACTTAAACTGGACTTAAATGTTTTCAGTTGTCGTCCACTAAACTTTGAAGGGTATAAACGACTTACATGTGACTGAAACTAAGAAACGTTTCCGTCTAAAAACTAAAATGAATAGGGGCCAAACCTCACATTGTCTGCTAGTCGTTCATGATACTATAAATAAGTTTAAAAGCTGTCTGTAAAACAAGCAGCTGCTTCCATCTCTGTTGGTGAAATCAAAAGAAGAAAAAAAGAAACAGAAAATGTACCAACTAGGCTGAGCTGCCATCCTCTCCATGTAGTCCTTGGCGAGGTCGAGGGCCCCGGCCCGGTGCGGGTACAGCAGGCAGAACATGGACAGCACGCCCAGGTTGTTTCCGTACACCTCGTTCCAGCGGGCGCTGAACTCGGCGGGGCTCCAGGGGGGCAGGTACTCCTCCGGGTGCTCCAGCATGGTCTCCCCGGCCTCGCGGATCCTCCTCGCCATGTCCCGGTGGGTCCCCGCGGCGGCGTACTGCAGCTCCTCCACGTCCCCCCGACTGAAGTACAGCATGGGGTGACCATCGTAGTTGCCTCCCATGAAGGGGATTCCGCCGCTGGGGTCCACCTTCGCAGCCGCTGCTGCCGGGGCGAGCAGGGGCCACAGCAGACTTATGAAGAAGACTGTGGGGGCCCCGCGGGTGTGGGTTCTCATCGTCTCATCAGAGAGGGGGGACTGAGGCAGAGCCGAAGGAGCTCAGCTGAGAGGGAGAAAAAAAGGGGGAAGAGAAGGATTTGAGAGAGCCAGCTCCGTATTCTGCACAAAAGCTCTGCATTCCTTGAATAATTAGATACAGCTGTCGTCTGATGATGCACGCTTTCCACACAGGCGACGACTTTACGCTCCTGTCTGATCTACAACGAAGCATTGTTATACACACTTATATGATTAAACCCATCCACATGTTACATAACCCTTCCCTCCCGCAGATTTATTCCTGAGCTGCTCATGTCAGACCAGCCGCTCCACACCGCGCACTCCCAGCTGACCAGACGAGACCTGGAGGTCATAAATGAGCCGTTACTGCAGTAACACTACTCCGGTCTAGTGAAACCACCTAACCCTAAACTGCTGGGTCCTCTCATAGAGAGCTGTGCCCCGAACATGAGAGTAAATTCCATGACCTTAGAGGAGCTTTTTTGGCAGAGGCCGTGTGGAAAAGCCTTTGGTGGTGATTTAAACGGCGTCTAGACAAGAGTCCATTCTGAGGCGCTGAGCAGTCAGGGGGCGTGCATGTTTGCCGTGTAGTGCTTGATAAAAAGGGAAAGTTCAAGTTGGTGCACAAAACGGGAGGCCGAATCAGAATACATTCAGACTTTGACCTCACGAGGAGTCACATGACTATGAGGTGAGCGCGAGACTTTTAGCCTGGATATAACCAACGAGACAACTGAGAGTTGATTCATCACACAAACGTTACAACAGCGTCACAGAGAGTAGATTTAGACAGATCTGAAACCTACTCGCTGTGGGTTATTTCTAGTGGTGTGCACGTTTAGTCGACAGAACGGTTAGACCTCATCATCCTCGCTGAATGATTGTTTGCTTGTTTAGCGCCTTTCTAGTCTTCTGGCTGTGGTGGAATTTCTGTGCTTATTTAGATTATAATGTACAGATGTCACTAGGTTTATTCACTGTTCTCTGATGTCAGTCAGACCTGATAGAGTTCAGTTGTTATTAGAACACCAAGGACAGCTTAGAGAGTGTCAATTGTTTTTTGTCAACTGAGTGTCAAGATGTTTGGTAGACTTATTAAGATTAAGATTTACTTTTATTAATCCTGCGAGGGGAAATTCTGTTTTTACACTCTGTAAGTCATGCAACACACATAGTCTGAAATACACACACATGCACAAACAGGATCCTATGGACATAGACTAATGGAGAGATGTCAGAGTGACAGAGCGGCCCCCGGCAGGCGCTCCTGAGCTGGTGGTGGGGAGGGGGTTTGGTGCATTGCTCAAGGGCACCTCGGCAGTGCTCAGGAAGCGATCTGGGACCTCTACAGCTACCAGACCAACTTCCATATTTGGTCCGCGCCGGGACTTGAACCGGCGACCCTCTGGTTCCCAACCCAGGAACCGGAGGGTAGATTTGATTGAGCAAGACACGAGGACAGAAGTGTGATGTTGAATCATGTCTCCTCATGAGTATTCTTATTATGTATAAACTTTCATCAACGTAAGCCATCCGAGTCAACTGAGTCTTATTGTGTGGAGTCAAGTCTTAGTAATTTCCACGACACTGACAACTCAAAGCTCTTTTACACCGCAGGTCAAACCTACACATTCACACACTGATGGTAGAGGCTGCTGTGTAAAGTGACCATAAGTAACTAATCCATTCATACATTCACACTCCACCGATGAAGCAGCGGGAGCAACTTTGGGTTCAGTGCCTTGCCAAAAGACATATCAGACATGTGGCTGCAGGAGCTGGGGATTGAACCCCTGACCTTCCGGTTAAGAGACAACAGACTCTACCACTGAGCCACAGCAAGCCCACCAGTCAGTTAGATGAATCATTAATATTTGTCAATTGTTTTGCTCAAACTGCAAAGCAGCTATACCAACCAGGGCACCACCACCAGTCAGAGCTGAAGCCATAGACTGGCTGTAGCTCCGGCTGATGGTCCTGGTCTCCTCGCTCCACTACCTGGATGTAAACAAGCACAATGATCAGCTCTCCTAAGACCAGAACATTTTAAAACTAGAAAATGAAGATGAAGATGTAAGTAGGCTGTGTGAGGGTTAAACTGGCATCTCAACAGGAGAAGATGTTGGCTAACTGGCTGTGGCTCAGTGGTAGAGTTGGTCTTCTTTTAACCGGAAGGTCAAGTGTTCGATCCCCAGCTCCTGCAGCCACATGTTGATGTGTCCTTGGGCAAGACACTTGCTCCCCTGCTTCTTCAGCGGTGTGTGAATGTGTATGAATGAATTAGTTACTTATGATGATGGACTCTTTACTCAGCAGTCTCTACCATCAGTGTGTGAATGTGTAGGTGTGACCTGTGGTGTGACCTGTGGTGTAAACGCGCTTTGAGTAGTCAGAAGACTAGAAAATAAATGATTTGTTGTTCCATGTTTACATCAAAGTCAATGCTGACATAATATTTGTTCAAACCATACGTTTCTCTTGTTTTTGTCAGACCTTAAGAGCCGAGACGTGACTAAGTCTTTAAAGAAAGAAAACTGATCAAATCTGTTTTGGCACATCAGACCAGGAAAAAAAAAACTAAACTGCAATGGATGCATCTCTATTAAAAACTGTTGTTTCCTACTCAATATGGGGCTGAGCGATATATCAAGTTTTTAAGATGTATTGATGTATTTTCACACAATAGAAATGTATTAAAATAACGTTATGTCCTCTGCTGCCAGTTCAACTATTTCTCATCTCACTGTCTGACCCTCTTCACCCTGCTCCTCCCCCCCCCTCTCTCTCTCTCTCTCTCTCTCTCTAAAAAACAAATGAAAAACAAAACAAACAGCTGTTTATTTTGTTACGCAGAAAATGTTTTTTTTTTTTTTAAATGTAATTGTATTTAAGGAATATTTTTATTTTACAATATTACTTTTTTAATTTCACTATCAGGTAGATTATTTTTAATGTACATATATTCACATTTAAGCAGTTACAGTCGAGCTTTCACTTACAGTTACTTTAATAAATACTTGATCAATTGTTTCGGCTTTTAAACGTCACACAAAAAAGTAAAATAAAATCTCTATGCCTGTTTTTGTTTTACAAAAAGGTTCAGGTGACACATTCAAATGCTTTATTCTACACCAGTCAAAAATCCATTTGATCAACATTTTGCACTTAATATTTACATTTACAATTACCGTAAAACTTCAAATAAAAAGCCCAATCTAAGGCCCAGTCTCCTTTACTAACTGGGTGTTGCTGCACATTTTGATAAATAAAGGCTGCTCTCTTTAGAGGCCCTGATGCCTTTAGTGATGATTAATTAACAGATCAAACATGATGTGAAAAATCTTTAAATTGAGTGATTGTGTGAACTTTTCCATCACTATTTTAAAGGCTCTTTGAGGACTCTTGATGTGCTGGACAGAAAGCATCACGGTGCACTGAGGCTTATAACAAACTGTGGCTCTCTAAAGTCAACCGGACTGCTTTAAGTACACGCTCGCTCGTCCCAGCGGCTGTGGGTTAGAATCTGACCGCCGCCCTTTTCTACATGACATCCACCCACTCTCTCCTCCCAACATGTCCAGTCTCTCTGTTCTAATGAAAGAACTCTATTTAAAAAAGAGAGATCTGATCGCATTGAGACTAACCTGGATAAATAAATAATATATATTATTTTATATATATATTATATTATAAGTAATTATAGCCCGCCTCTTAATGACACCTGTCCCAAATAAAGGGAGGGTCATTGTATAGACTGAAGTAAATATAAGTTTTACGGTAATTGTCAAAGTACCTGGTGAATATTTTTCTGTTCATCAAACTGAGATAAGTGAAGTGAAGCTCTTTAATCTCCACTAATCAGAATCTGTTCTCTGAGTATGTTTTTAAATTATTATTAATTTTTTCGGGCTCCTTATACCTTGATTTTAGATACAGGACAGTGGATAGAGTCACTGGAGAGAGAGAGAGAGTATGACGAGCAGGAAAGGAGCCACTGGTTGGATTTGAACCCGGGCTGCCCGCTCTCAAGGTCTCAAGGCACTCACTAACTGTTAGGCTATACCGGCTCCCCATTTGTTATCAATTGGTCATTATAATGGTGTTTATATTAAGTGTTCTTGATAACCTCTCAGACTCTTTAATGAGACATGTGGTCCTTTAAATCAATGAGATTCACTTCAACTCCATGCAGTATAACAACACAATCACATTTCTGTGAAGACTTCTTATTTTTAATGTGTTATTTGTTTTCATTCTCCAAGGGAAATATTGAGAAAGTAACAAACAACTGTACTAATATAAGAATATACATTTTAAGCTTACTTCAGGACTCAGCAGCTAACGCAGAATTTCACAACCTAGGGTCACATAGAATTCAAATGGGGTCCCCTGAAATGTCTAATCATCGATCAAAGTAAAATATAGGCTTAAATTAAGCTACAAGAAGTTTTCCAGTTCAGCTGCTGTGGGCTAAAAGCTAACAAACTTGCAGTATCATTAAACTTCCAGTCTATAAATACACTCTCACCTGGCTGTACACATCAACACTGAGACAAAATAAAATCCTCCCTTTGTGCACAAATCTCATCCCGGCCTCTCTGTCCACAATAAGTTACCTGCAGTATCCTTAAAGTGTTCTAGAATAAATGATTACTTGCATTAGGTAGAAGGAAACTATCACATGGTTGATAAAATAATCGTTTTAGTAAAAAGCTGGATGTGTTTTTGGATGTTTGGGCTCCCCGGAGTTTTGTGAAGTCAAAGTGGGGGTCAAGAGCCAATAAAGGTCGGGGACCAGTCAGTCATTACTTCCACGTTCAGAGGGAGCCAAGCGCAGTGATTCATATCTGTCACTCCATTTTCCACAGCTGTACGAAGGTAAAAGAGCAGATGGTTCATTTAAAACAAAGACAAAGTGACGTGGAGTCACCCCTTTACAAAGCCTTTGTCCTGCGCACACACCGCTGCCTCCTCCGCGTTAGAAGAAAACCCTGAAAAAGCCACTTTAACAAACTTTAAATGTGTCTCCTTAATGCTTCGGGTTCATCACTAAACATCTTCTCTCCTACAGCTGCGGTAGGTCTAGTCTACCCCCCCCCCCCCTCTCCACTTCTCTCCAAAGTGAAGTTTCACAGCCACACAGGTCATTATCGATGGTATTGATAATCCAAAACTCTGCGCACAGAGGTAGCCTTGTTCCCGAAGAAGTCGAGCCCTGAAAACTCTTTGGAGGAGGGGGAATATAAAAAGCGTAAAGGGTCCGTACCTGTCAGAAGCTCTGCTCACAGATCCGTGTCCCCGTCGTCTCCACGCTCATTTCTTTCTCGTCACAGCAGCAGAGATTTCCAGAGTGGTGATCAATGTGATTGAAAAGTTTTGTTTTAGGGGAGAGAGAGAGAGAGAGAGGGAGAGAGAGAGAGAGCGGAGGGAAGGAATGTGTGCGCGCAGAGGGAGCGTCATGCTGGCGGATGAGGAGGGGCAGCGAGGAGGAGGAGGAGGTGGAGGGGGGGCTTAAAGGGGAACTAATGAACCCATGTGTCCGCCCTCTCTCCACACACTGAGGTAACAGGCAGGAGGTGAACGTTACAATCTACAGTCACATGACTTTACTATCTCTCCACAGTCAAAGAACTATTCTCCCCCCGTTATTTATGTTTTAATTGTTGGGCTTTTTATTCCTTTATTTCAGAAACAGTACAGTCAGTGGCGATTCAAGAGTCAGGGCCCAAAGCACAAATCCATCGGGGCCCCTCCAACCAGCGTTCATCATCATTATGTCTGCCAGTGCCCTTTCGTTTTTCACTCTCACACAGATAACTCCTCTGCATTCTGTTTAATTTCATTGACAAACTTTGGTTTTCATAGCAAAAATGCATGCAATGTTTAGCATGGTATGGAGAGATGATGCCCCCCTTAGGGAGGTTTCCTACAGTCATTGCAAAAAGTGCACATTTTGAGAAACAGCAGGTGTATAGGGCGCACTCACACCTAGGTGAAGTTGTCCCGTACGGTGCTGAAGCACGATTGCCCCCCGCTGACCTGCACTCACACTGCTCCAGGACTATCCGGGCCTGAGCACGGTTACCTCTTGTTCACAATGTCAAAATACAACACATGAATGGTTTTACATAATTATGAAGAGTGCTGAGTTTACAAGACAGGAGGACTCGAGAAAAAAAAAAACGGTGAAGTCCAGTCCCGCAAATTGGAAAGCATCACAGTGAACATGACAGCTACTTTACTGACTTAGTGTCTTATATAGAGTCATGTTAGTCAGATACAGACAGAACACTCTGGGATTTCTCCATAAAGAAGGCTGTCCATGTTCAGTGCCTGTGCATAAGGAAGTGTACCGAGCTTGAGTACGGATCGGAGCACTCACACTAGTCAAACGAACTGGACTTTAGGTGTAATTTAGGCACCGTACGGATTGAGGATTACCTGCCTTGCATGTTGATAAGCAGCGCCTCTGAATCAATGGATAGTCAGAAATCCAGGAGAGAGAGAGAGTGGGAAATTACATGCAGGAAAAAATCCACAGGTTAGATTTGAACCCATGCAGCAAGCTCAAAGGCGTCCGTACATAGGGTGGACAAACTAACCACCAGGCTAATGGCACCGCTGCAAAGTGTGTAGCCAGCTGAATATATAGCTGACTACTTGTTGATACAACTGTAAGCATTTTACCATGTGTTAGTGTTTTTCTCAGGTGGGGTGCCAAGTGGGATTTTGTTAATTTGTCTGTGTTTGTACTTGATATTCTCCAGAACATGTTCTTAACTCATAGAGAGACGTGTGAAAAAAAAAGCTTCATCCCTTGAGGTGTTTTCTTCACCCCCCCCTCAGGGCTTCCGTAGATTTCCCAGAGTGTTTAAAGTGCAAAACCTTCAGTTTGATTCTGCTTTCAAAGAACTTAAACAAAAAAAAAAGAGAGAGAGACTCGTTCATAAGAAAACTGTAGAACATTTTATTCATAGACAGTACTTCAACACTGGAACACAGAATTGAACTTTCCCTGTGTTTTTTTTTAAGGAAACTAAGACCACAAATGCTTCCAACATAAGGCAAATGTGCATGTCAGATGTTCCATGTCAGATGAGAAAAGAAGAGTACAATCACAACAGCTGTATGCATAAAAACACCTGCACACACAGCACGAGTCAGACCTCACGTTGGATGACCTATCCCACATACATGCTGAGCTGAACGCAGCTTCTTATCGCAGTATTCTCTGTTTATCTGTGGGATGATGGTCATCGTAAAGGAACACTTTGACGTTTGGTAAATCCACTCGTTTGTCGCCGGAGAAAAAGGCTGATGTCAGACTCACCTAGCGTGGTTAGCGTCGTGTTAGCTCTGGGAGGTTTAGCCTCACTCAGGACTAAGAATGAAAAGTAAGGAACCATCAAGCAAACTAGCCAGACAGACGCTCTAAAAGTAGTTTTTGTATCTTATATTTAGTATTTAGAGTTAAATATAACAAACACCAGTAAGGCGCTGTGTCTGTATTCATAGTTTGCCATGACGTGCCAGATGCGTTCTGTCGGCGCCCCAGTTTTGCTCCATTAGACGGAGCGCTCCCTGACCCCCAAAGGGTCAGTTTCTGGAAAAAACTCTACATGTTACAGCTTTAAAGGGAGCTACGGTGCTCATTTCTGTGATAAAAAGCCCATTTTTAAAATGAAATGGTTTGTAGTTAAGATGCAGCCCATGAGCTAAATGGAGTAGTGGAGTCCTCAGTGTAACATTCCCAATAAGGAGCCATCATCTTGGTGGCCATTCTTCGTTTTAAGACAATCGATCCATTAGTATTATGCATCTAGAAATTGAAGTTTTGGTGCTGAGGCTAGCATTAGCATTAGCTATGGTTCATCCCTGTAGTGCTCAGCTCGGCCATAAAAACGTCCCAGATTCACAGAATAGCCACACATTAATCTGGTGTGATGTGGCAGCAGCAACAAACGTACTCGGATTTATCCAAAATGTAGTGTTCCTTAAATATTATGGCATAACCTGTCAATGCACACCGACCAAATAACCATTCAGAAGTCGGTTAAAGCAGATCTCAGTCTGGTACTGCATCATGAATGAACGCACATTTTTACACAATCACTCAAACAGCACATGTCACTGTTGCACCGAAAGAAATAATACAGAGAACACCTAGCATAGTCTTCTTCATCCATTATTATCAATATTATTATTATTATTATTATTATTATTATTAAGTGTTTCCCAAAGTAGTGTTTTTTTTTTCAGACAGCAAACACAAAGTACAACATTGTGCCAGTTCTTTAGCAACAATGACCTGAAGATCGACCACCTCCACGAAACAGACACGAGGGGAACATTAGACCTCAGAGGAGTTTCAGCTCTTTAAACATGTGCTCTATTTTTTACATTATATTTGTGGATCTAAAGGACTGACAGTAATAAAAAGGTTTGAAGTGGGTTGGCAGCCTGAAAACTAGAGCCCGACCGATGAATCGGCCAGCCGATAATATCGGCCAATATTAGCATATCAAGTGACTATCGGTATCGGCTCATTTTACCTGATTACTCGTCATATTACTCGATTTATTCACCAGTCAAATAGCATTTCATTTGAGTTTCATTGTTTATCGCTAGCAGTTCTCTTTCACCAGCAGAGGGCGCTATCTGATGAAGCGGTGATGAACAGTTACTTACCATTTGAGTTACCGTTTTGTCGTCATTCTTTTCCACAAGAGTTTGATAGCTGCATTTCAGGTATCAACACAAATTTGTATATATATTCAGTATATGTTCTCTACAGATCGAAGATAGATCTAAGAAATAAGTGCAGATATCACAAACCACTGCACCGACAAGAACAGCTGTTGCCAAAACCTGCAAATGTTTCTGCTCCCTTTTTTTCCCTTCTTGAACATGGATCAAAGAAAGATATCGGCCAATATATCAGTATCAGATTATTTCTCTACCTAAGATCGATATTGGCCCCATAAATCACATATCGGTCGGGCCCGACTTAAAGGTCCCATATTATGCTTTTTCTGGTTTTATATGCTCTTAATGTGTTTTCCATGTGTACTGTGCATGTTTAGGCACATCTATGTGCAAAAATTCAAAGTCTGTGGAAACGCGGCTTCTCCTACGTCCTCCTGTTAGCTGTAGCATTAGCCACATGTACCGCTCAGTTCTAGCCCCCCTCGATAAAAATTTGTCAGTCCGACGTCATTGTCAGTGTGAGATCACTGATCTAAGCCCATTGGCTCGTTGTGGCAAGCCCTGCAGCTCAGACCAATCAGAGCAGACTTGGCCCACGTGTGGTCTAACAGTGTGGGCTCAACAGAGTGTAGCTGACGGACTCAGAGCGTAGAGGGAGCAAGGAGGAGCAGTACATGAAAATAGACACTTTTTTCGGACTTTATCTATTGTGAACGTACAAAAGTAGGTACATAGATTAAATATACGAACCCCAAAAAGGGCAGAATATGGGCTCTTTAAAACAGGTTGTAACAGCTACAACATGAACGTAGCTTGGGAGCTTGTTTTAACCACTGACAGGCTCAAAGTGTTCTTAAATGTGTCTGGTGAAATGACAAAAAAGGATACCCTAAGAGAGAGATCCTTTTGTTAAGGGGATAAAGTTGTTTAAACAAGAAACAGCAGCTTTGTCGTTTTACCTTTAAACTACATTTAACGGTCAACTCCTGCACGCTGTCCTATTGGAAATGTTTCGGTACCAGACCTTCATCAGGCAAACAGTTCGTTAAAATTGGCAAGACAGTAAAGGAAGCATCAGTGGCTTTGTCAATCATCACTTATAGGCCTACATGTGTGGTGGTGACTGTGTCTGCAGAGACTCTGTCCTCTGACTGGATTTTACTGTTTTAGTTTGTTCTGGTTGACTCAGGAAGTTTCTGGACTGGGAGCTGGTGTGTTTCCTCCAGCCAATGACAGCGCACAGGTGAGTTCAGCAGTAGATGAAGCTCATTCCAAAACAAGGATGAACCTTGTGCTGCGAAAGCCAACAAGATTTCCTTTCTGTTTGACGACAGCTGTCAAACCGTTAGCTTGTGCTAGCGTGCGGTAGCTTGCAGTGTAGGTACAAGCAGTAAACTTGCGCACCACGTGCTGCAGGGAGGGTGTGTTTCTGGAGGTGATGAGCCCAGGAGGAGGGCTCCAGTTTGAATGTTGTGTTTACAAGCTACAGACTCCACCTTCAACAAATAGTTTGCCTGATGAAGGTCTGGGACTATAGCCTCTGTACACAGGGCGCATGAATATTCGCTAGGCTATTAGCGCCCCAAGTGGGCATATAAAGGTCAGAATATTTTCCCTTAAAGATTATGTGGCAGCTGTTACAGCCTGCCTCGAGGATTTGAGCTGAATCATCTTCTGAACACAAGTCTAAAATACTGGACTGTCCCTTTAAACCTCACATGAAGGTCACCGTAAAGCAAACAGTAAAACCATTTTTTTAAAAAGAAGACTTTAGGATGACAGTGTGATACAGAAAAATACGGACACAATGATACCACAGGGACCTTCAGGGACAAACACTGTGGCCTTCTGGGTAAGTTTGTGAGGTAATCCCTTCAGGGGTCAAAGAAATGTTCACTCTATTAGAAGGACCATTGAAATAATTAAGAGGCCTCACACATGAAACAATAAATCACTACATTTCCTATTATTACTGTTTGAACACACACACACACACACACACACACACACACACTTCCACACACACTTGTTGTATTTCCACATGTACGGTACACTGACTAAACCACGAAACAACGTTCAGATGTAGGCGTTATGACAGAGAGATACTGTGGCGTACATTCACATGGTTTTATCTGAACGGGTGATGAGTGGACGCTTCCTGTGCTCCACGGATGGCGGGCGGGTCAGGTGACAAACTACAGGCAAAAATGGAGGCACATTCCTCTCCTGAGGCAGAGGGGTAAGGGAGGACTTCCTACTTTATTTTTATTATTATTTTTTTTACGACAGGCTCTCGCACCTCTTCAGCAGAGAATCGGGGGGCCGGGGGTAGTAGCCGGTGGTGCAGGGCTTGTTGGGAGAAAACCTGGGGAACTTGTAATCCAGAGGGAGATCTGAAGAGAGTCAAAGAATCAAACAGGGAAAGTGAAATTAAAGTTATCCAGAACATGTGCAGGCCACATTAACTTTAGACTCACTGCAGCCACAGAAAAGAAAGAAGCATTTTATCATCTTTATCTTCCCTCCTCTCAGTTTTAAACCAAAACTTTTGATGCTGCTTGTAAAAATGTGCAGCAGCGACTGTATTTCTTAAAGAAGGTGAACAGGTTTAAGATGTGCAATCATGTCTTAATGACTTTGTTTGATCTGTGTTTTATGGAGCAGATTGTTGAGGTCGCAACCCCCAAAAATGTGGGTGCCAGAGACTGAAGACCCCCACTGTCCCTGGAGATGGTTAAAGGAAGAATGTGCGATATTATACACATAAATATATCAGAAATCTAGTATGTCCTGTGTAAATGTCTCTCTGAGTCATGACTGTCTACAATGAGTGAGAAGCTTGAGTCCCTCCAGCTGTGTTGTTGTTAGAGCTGTGTTTACATGAAAGGGATGGCCTTGTGTATAAAGCTGTTTTAGTCAAGGACGAGACTGCTTGATTGGACGTACGCGTCTTTAGATCACGGTCATTCTGTGTCAATTCATGTGCAAAGTGAAGCTACTAGCTAACTAAAGAGCGCTAACATTAGCCTGCTAACACAACAATAAAGGACACAGACGATCATCTCAAGCAAAGGAGAATTTTGTCTTGTCTTGCGAATACGAGTGGAGAGCGGTTTGAGATGTGTCTCTGGAGGAGAGTGGAGGCTTCAGAATAGCGGTTGTGTGGCCAAACAGCAGTTTATTGTAGTTTCATGCTGGTGCTCAAGGGCGATATCTACTGGATCAAAAAGTTGCACATTCTTCCTTTAAGGTACACAACGTAATATAACACAAAAGAATACAACAGAAGTTATTCTGATTTGCAATGTATTAGTTCAAGGATAATCACAAAGTTAAAGTTGATCAGGTAGGTGAGGGGCAATTTAAAACAGCAGTAAGAAGAAGACGAGATGCCTGCACACTCGCTGAATGCCACAACAACTTCATTGAATCACAATGTTATGACCAGAGGTAGGCTGACAGGCTCTGTGATCGAAGGTGTGGTGAAACATTCAGAAACACCCAGAGGTGAAACACATCTATTGAAATACTCTGACTCTCCAAAATTTTTTTTTATGGATCATGAAGTTGCTGTGGCATTTCAAAATTGAGCAGGCAAAATAAGATTAGGGCCCACATATAACAACAGTTGATTCTACATTTGATTTTATAAATCATTTATCATCATTACCCTCTGAAAGTGTTTGAAAAAGTATTTCATCATTCTTCTTCTCTGGAGACTTTTTGTATTTTGAAGTTTAAAGCAATAATATGTAGGGATTTGGTTTGGTGCACTTTGGCACCCACCGAAGGTCTCTGAGTGAAACTGCACTGTAGTAAGACAGACATGGTGGGGCGGTAGTGCAGAAACTTAAGACCCCTGTCCACTGACAAGGTACAATGATATTACCGGATTTGGAATTATTATGTTTCTGTCTCTTTCAGCCAATTTTCACATAGTGGAAAATACAATCGTGAGTCCGTATATTGTGTTTTATTTTGAAATTGACTGGATGCTCTGTGCGTTTCTTTGTCTGACTTCCTGTCAGGGTGGCAGTGAACGGCAGCGTAGTGCATGGCACTGATGGACCGGGGCGAGCAAGGACTATGTGGAAATTTGTAACTCATTTGTTTCTGAAGTTTCAATACTTTTTCCACGTTATAAAAAATAATATAACCCACAATTTGACCCTGAGCATTGACTAGCGTGGCAGCAAACGGCGCCATAATGTGCTCAGCTCAGCCATTGTATCAGAGACAGGTTAACTGGCTGGTGCCTTAAAGCGGTACACACTTCTCATGTGAGAACCGCGCCCACTGACAAACTTACTTAGTTATTTGAACACCCACCCCCTTGCTCCCTATCCCTCTTCCTGCATCTTATCAGATCTCTCCCCCTATCCTTTTCCAAGCCCGGCGCAGTCTAGGCCTGTGAAGGCTGTTTCGTCATGAGCCGGGGATCCAGCCGAAGATTTCTGTCTTTTAATAAGGCAGTTTTTTCTTACCACTGTAACTTTTGTTGCTTTGCTAAAGTGCTCATGATGGATAGGCCGGATCTTTGTAAAATAGCAATAAGTAAGGTCTTTGACCTGCTTTTTGTAACATAACAATAAGTAAGGTCTTTTACCTGCTCTTTGTAACATAACAATAAGTAAGGTCTTTTACCTGCTCTTTGTAACATAACAATAAGTAAGGTCTTTTACCTGCTTTTTGTAAAGTGCCTTGAGATAACACTTATTATGAGTTGACGCTATACAAATAAAAATTGAATTAAAATTGAATTGAAAATTAGTTCTATATGAAGGCGATCGGGGTGATCTGTGGAAAGGAATGGACGCTGTTCTCCCTCGTTGGAGGTTGTTGTACCAAATTAGAAATAATTTCTTGGGTGGAAAAGTTACATATTGTTGCTTTAAAGCATGTGTTCAGTGCTTTTTAGTTTCTACCCTGGCTTATCTGCTTCTTTCTCTCTCTGACAAACCTCTACGGATGTGTCACACTTTCCACAGTTTGAACTGGTATACTGGCCTTCCTCCACATACCTGCTATGTGCTCCACACTGGGGATGGCCATGGCGCTGTATTTGTGAATGCAGTGGCCGCACCAGGTCAGCTTCTGGCTCTCCTCGTCCCCTCCTCCACTTTTATGTACGTCAACAAAGTAGGAGCCCCACTGCTCGGAGGCGGCAGACGGTGCCTTCATACCCTGCTCCTGTTCAAACAGTCGACACAGAAACCAAATTATGTAAGCGTGTGTGAAGATTCATTTTTCAGACGTGTGCTGACAGGATAAATGGAGAAGTCTACTCTGCCCTGTGCTTTGGGAAACAAAGCCCGACTTCAAACTGGCTGCAACCCAAAGCAGCTTCAAGGCGTTTTATGACTCCAAACTTGAATCATTTTCTTGAGAAATCCCCCGCTCTCTTACTCATAATCACTCATTAAACATCGAAACATTTTTACAGGCAGAGAGAACACACGAGCAGCCACCATTGCAACAACAGGATGTGTGGTTTAAAGAACGATTTGGTAAGATTAAAACCCCACAAACCAAAAATGATAAGTGGGTTTGCGAAATTGCTGCTAAAGTTATCAGGAACTGTTTAAAGAGGGAGAGGAGTAAAATGTCTGTGATCATCATGTTTTCATGGAGATTTGAGCCAAATGTGTTTCTAAAAAAAATCAAGTTTGAAGGAACCAAAAAAAGCAGAACAAAGAAGGACTGCCTGAGGGAAATAAAGTTCAGCATGTTGAAGCAGAAACCTCTGACATAATCCAACACAGATGATCAAACTCTCCTCTGAACATATTAAAGAGCCTGCAGCGAAATAAACTGCTTAGCTGTCTTTCTACCTATCAGGAGAGCCTCCTCTGCTGAATGAACTGCATGCATGAAAATGATCACAGTGCACCATCAGATTGGATAATTTTAGATGATACTGATAAATGAAAATAGAACAAAGGAAGAGGAAGTCATCTTCGTTATTTTAGACAGAATCTCTTGATCGTTGTCGGTTCTTTTTCCGGCTCAACTTGCTGATGAAGCAGCTCCAACACGATGTGGCTGATATCAGCTTGTGTGTTTCTGCTGTCCTTAGCTTCATAAATCAATCACTTATGAACAAAACTCTGTGTCAAAGAAAAAAACATGGCCAAAGCTGTCACCGATTGGTTCGTGGTTTTCTGCTTTTCAGTTCAGAGTTCAAATCTTTGGTTAGCGAGAGGTGACCATGTTTATACGAGGGGGTAAAGCTGGAGAGAGAGGGTTAATCAAATATAAAATAATGACCTGTGCTTTGTCATCTTTTCTACCCTAACGGGGATGAGGAAACTAGAAATCGAGAGGAAAACGGTGTTCATTCAGGTCATGAATTAAACGCACAGTATGTAAATCCCACCACCAGGGGGCGATCAAAACAATAACAACAGATGACTTTTAGACTGGCGGGAAAACTTCATCCCTTAGTCTAACATTTTTTGGAAAAAACTTTGAGTCATATTTGAAAATAAGAATCTGGTTATGACTTGATATTTGTTACAAAAATACTTCATAACCCTAACCCGTCAAATAACAAGAGTAGCCCAACAGTTGACTGATTGTTTGTTAAAGATCCCATATTCTCCTCATGTTCACCTTTCATGTTGCCACTCTGTGAAACCTGTAGACCAGCTTTGAATAATTTGAAGCTCAACAACAACCTTCTTATTTATCTCAAACTGACGTCAGTAAAAACTTCGGTCCTTTGTTTGTTTCAGCTGCTGTCTCTTTAAGGCCCCCCTCCCAACGTGCCCACTTTCTTCTTATTGGTCAGCTCCCTGGAAGCCTCCCGGGGCTTGCAGAATGCTGCAGGGCTGCCAGAGGAGAGAGTCCATTTTTCGAGGTTTCAACGGCTTATTGAAGCTTGAAGTCATCTGGAAAAATGTCATATTGAGGAACTTATCGCATGATTCGCAGAACAAAGCGTTTAGCGCCCCCTGCAGACTTATCCTGGGTTTACTACAACATACGTCTACCTCATGATGTGAAACATTGCCCATGTTTAGTATGAGCATCCAGCATTGTAACACTTTTAAAAAACGTGATCAGCATGATAGGCCAACTTTAAAGACTTAACATCACTAAACATTATAAATATAGTTTTGATAACGAATACCAGTATCTTAGCTTCTGTATGTATTTACTTACAGCTCACTATGATATGGATACCAAATGTTTTATAACTCAATATTCAGTGATCAGTTAAGAAGGATAATTCAGATGACAGGACTTCTGCTCCCGGCTCCTTTTCTGACTTGTGACTCAGACGACTCACACGCCCACACATTCTTTAGAAATAGTCCAACTGAAAGATGAGCCGTAATTTAAACTACTGTCTGTGTTGGTTTATGATACTTATGGACGTTTCTTTTTCACCCAGGTTTATGTGAGTGCCTGTCTGATAAGATTCATATTTACCATTTAAAAACCAAATTTCCAGTGGCTTCACGATCACTAAGCTAAGGGTAAGAAGTAGAGGCCCACAGAATTGGGGGTGGGGGTTGAGTATTGGAAGCTGGAGCTGAGGTTGGGTGGACTGCTAAACGGAAACAGCTGCTTCAGTAAACTTACCTCAAACTTGCCCTTTTTCTCCAGAGGCTCCACTTGGGCCTCGTTAGACATGGCCGCGTCGCTCTTCTGGACGCCCTCCCCCTCCATTTCCTCCACGACCATCACTGTCTCCCACTTCCCAAAGCTGCTGGCGGGGAACATGTCCGACCTCATGCTGTCTCCAAAATACACCACCTGCAGGGGCGTGGGAGAAAAAGAGGTGACAGAGAGGACAACTTGGTTACTTTTAAGAGCGACACTAAGGTTTAAGTGCTGCGGTAAAGAAGCTCTTAAGCTGAATTCTTCTCTTAGCAGAAGTCAAAGTCACCTGGCAGATATCTTATGGACCCCCAGGGGAAACTAGACCAGACACGACCAGTCTGCAAAAATCATCACAAACTCTTTGACCATCACGTCTCTTTTGTGCTCCACGTCTGGAAAGAAAAGCAAGCCGGGGCAGGCTTTACTGAGATACATTCCAGTACTGAAGTGCAGGCACCCGCGATTTAAAGCTTTAAATCCCATTTTAACAGAATCTTTTTTTGGTTCATTTCCAAAAAAAGAGGAAATGAAGTGAGGAGCTTAAAATGAGAAGACCCAGAAGTCAGCTGACAGTCTTCTGCGAACCGGAAAAGCAAGCCAGTTCATAGACGCATATGATCGGAAAACAAGTGATTCCTGGAACAGGAGAGTATGTTTTATTAGATATAAAAGGGCTATATCATAAAATGTCAATGGTATGGTTTGTTTTGAAGCTTGAATCATCGGACTATAAAATAAGTCATGTAGATAAAGTCTTTCTGATTGTTAATATATAAGGAACTCTTCTAGCATTTTTTCTGGTGATTGCTGGATTGGAAAACCAAAACAATAAGATAAAATAGGCTTAAAAACTCACTTAAGCTGAGGAAAGGTCATTCTTAAAAAATATCTGGAGGGGTGATCACATAAAACCACTCAGCATTCGTAGCCATTTGAAGTTTTGCAACTCAAAGAAATAAAAGCTAATTGCAGCTTTAAAAGAGCAATCTGTAAGAAGTGTTGCAGCGATGGAAGCGGACAAGAGAAGTGGTTCAGATAGAAGTGATTGTACCCGACCTAAAAAGCCTCTGCATGTTTCTAATAAGCTCCACGAGCAGAAACGTGCTCAAACTAGGATCAATGTTGGAGATGATTTTGAAAAATGGAGAGAGGTTAGAACACAGAAAGGTTTACAGACCCATGCAGAGCTGGTTAAACACTGAAGCTTCAGTGTCCACATCATGGCAACCTCAGGAGGTATGGTGAGACAGCTCTTGCCAATGTTTAGAATTTGGACTGCAGCACCCATTTTAAACACTAGGCGTCAGAGTTACATATCGCCCCTTTAAGTTAAAGAAATGTTAACTGAGTACCGTTAAATCTGGAGTGTAAATTGCGCCTGTATATAAGATATAGTCTGTGTTTGGGGCGAGGAAAAAATGGTTGAACTGTCTTCCTGTGTGATGATTTCTATGGTGTTCAGCAAAGTCTCCAAAGTGAACTTTCCGTGTAGCTTTGTAGTCCTTTTCGTAACATCTGTTTTCACCATGTGGAGTTTGCACTCCTGCTAGCTTCACGTATGGTTATAAACTCTCAGCCCGAACTGACAGTACCAAAGCACAATCACCTGAAGTCTTTATGATATATTTGACTCAGAAAAAGTAAATGCAATGTGCCCTATGTAAACCCCTCTTAGCATCACAAACAAAGATGACACACCCCTGCTTGTGAGGTCTAACCAAATCAAACCTCTGTACAGGAGTCAGAAGTCCATGAAGAGGATGTAAGACATTCTAGAAGCCACATCTCGTCCCTCCTCCTCCTCACAGATCTGTGCTGTGTCTCAGGTCAGGTCTGTTCTTTCACATGTAAACAAACAGTCAGGCTAATCGAGGCTGCTGCGAGCCAGGCCTGTGAGGAGGAGGGCTGTAGGGAATCACATTTCTTCCAGACTTTCCCAGAACTTCCCACAGCTGGTCTTCAGACCCCGAAAAAGCCCTGCACCTCTCATTGCAGCCCGGGTCATGGGATCACTATAATAAATATTTACAGAGGCCAAAGATTCCAACGTATTACAGAAGGGAGTCACTGTGGATGACTGACTGAGCACCATGAGGTGAATCACACTGAAGGATACGGTGAAAAATCAGCACGGCAGAGGCTGCTCTTACCTCCAAACACATCCACACAGATGACACTGTTTACAAGCTTTCTACTTTATTCTGGTATCATGTTTATAGACTGTTAATATTATTGGACAAAGCCTGAGTGATGTCACCCGACTTTTACTGCAGGGGGCTTTTAAAATGCTGTCTCAGCCTAACTTCCTGTCAACCTAACGACAGGCTGAGAGCTGGATCTGAGGCGGGTTTTAAGCGTCTTGACAAACAGCTACACTGCACCCTCCCAACAATCAGATCAGCTACGCGCCTTATAGTGAATTACGCTTATCCTTCATAAAACAAAACGGATGAGTTACAGTGTGTGCCGATGGAGACATAAGATAATCCGACCTATTTCGTTATTTGAACCAGGCTGTAAACTTGTTAATTTCTGCTGTAAAAACTGGCTCTTTTTGAATGGGTGTGTATGTGACTTCTGTGACTCCTCTGCAGCCAGCATCAAGTGGACACTCGACAAACTGCAGGATTTTTCCACATCTGCTTCATATTTCAACACCCGAGGTTGCAGCCTGTTTCTGCTATGTGAAAGAGCTGCTTATGCTAGCATGGGGCTAGAAAAGTTTTATGATTTCAAAATTTCCTAAACAGGGTTCCAAGGGTTGGATCCCCTAACTCTTCCCAAAATTCATAAAGTTATAGCATGACGTTATTGTTAGACAAAAAAAGACACGGTGGAAGACTCTAGATGGATCCTGTTTGTCTACAGTTGATAGCAGTAGTGCACCCCATATGGCTGCAGTCAGCTGATGGAAATTGAGGAAATTATCAGTTAAATCAGACCTCATTAGGGTAAAACTGGTGTTTAAATTACCAGCCTAGGAGGCTTATATGATGAGTGCAATCCAATAACCAATCTAGAAAGTGCAGTTAAGTCACCATGCCAGCAGAGCCTGTAGCTAATCTAGTGGCTTACCAGAGCCCACTTACTATTAGCCTGATACCAAACTGGCTTCAGGCTTCAAGTAGCCTCAATCAGTCTCTTGTTACTCTTGATATATAAACCCTAAACCTGCTTCTTCCAAAGATTTCAACACAATGTGTGCTGTAGAGCTCGTCACTCATCAGTAAGTTAAAAACTAACTGCCAACATAGGGCCCCATTTGGCTACAACCTACCAATAAAACACCTATAAAAGAAAGCCAAATCAGCACTATCAGAACCTGACCTTGGTACCGCAGTAAGGTAGTAACAAGCCTCAGAGGCGATTACCTGCCAGGCCAGTCCCTCATCCAAAGGTTAGCGGGTTATACAGTTCATCAAAGCTCATTGCTTCCATTCGATTCCTGTCATGGTCTCTTGTCCACATTCTTGCTGTCAGAATTAGCTCACTGCGGCTTTAAGATGAAGTCTGTGGACCCCCGTCTCTTATCAGCCCATCACTCAGAGGAGCAGTTAAAGCTGAAGCCAGGTCCAGGTAAACAGAGCTGCAGGCATGCAGAGAGGCCTTAATGAGCCCATTGTGCTGCACGCTGTGTGGGGCCTGGAGCACTGGGAGGGCAAGGGGGTCGACGAGTCAGCCGGGCAAAACCCCACTTTGTCTTCTGGTCTCATATTCAATCCTGCACTGTTATATATCATTCTATAAGGTATGAAATGTTCTGCCAACAGAATGAGGTCATTACATCTGTTTTCAATGCAGTTAGGACCAAGCAGAGAGAGGCAGGTTTACCTTCTACAGTAAAAGACATGGCCTCAAAGTTATTCACAGAAGAAGCAAGTTACATATTGTCACGTCTTTCAATGTTTTGTCTTAGTTAAGAGAGTATAATTAATACTAGAAACAAGTAAATTAAGACGTGAGGGGTTTGGGGATCAAAATTACACTCTTAAACTTGTACAGTGTCTTGAAATAACATTTGTTATGAATTGGTGATACACAAATAAAGATTGATTAATTAATAAATCTCTGTCTTTTGCCTGCTCAACTTTTCAGAAAATGTGTGCTCAATGTGTGCCGTTTGGAGATTTTCCCTTCATGACATCACAAAGGGCATTAACCCCTCCCACAGGTGGGTGACACTCCCACAGCTAGGTGTTTGTTCTGCCCTCTGAGTCTGCCTTCTCACCGTAAACAATAGGACATGGAGAGAGAAAGTCCAAGCTGACCCAAGTCCTTCCAGAGAGGGGGCGTGGTCAGACACAGCTCATTTACATATTTAAAGGTACAGACACAGAAACAGCCTGTTCTGAGCAGGGCTGAAATAGAGGGGTTTATAGACATGATCAAATACAGGATCAGAGTGAATTTAGAATAAGAGACTTCACACACATGTTTTGTGGAGCTCTGAGACTTATTTAAACTGGTTGAAGAGGAGGAGAATATGTGACCTTTAAAAACATAACACTATGGTGCATTCATTTTATATGCACCACTAAAACTTATATACTTTCATCCTTAACACCTTAAACAATGACGCCTCTTCTGTTTGTATAACTCTGTTATATGTTCTTTAATGTGGAACTTTCTTTTGCTGCTGTCTTGACAAGGACTCCTTAGTCATATAGATTTTGTACCTCAGTAGGATGATTCCTTTAAGAATAAATGCACTAGGATTTGGTTTGAGTGAATCTGCTCTAAATCCAAACTCCTGTGTCACTCATAAAAACACCTGAGAATAATGACTGCTTCAAATATTCAGGCCTGTGTCTCCGTCTCAGCTCCTCTGTGACCCCGTCAGGTTCAGCCCTGTGCTGAGTGCATTGTAATCTTCCCTGAATGCCTCCATTCAGCCCACCTGCATTAAGTCCTGTCAGGTGAAAGTGGAGAGAAGTGAAAACACAGAGTGCCTCAGGTCACCCTGGTAGGAGTGTTTAAAGCAGCCATAAGTGCAGGTTGACACTGAATTCCACAGGAGCTTTCTCCACGTGGCGGGGGGAACAGAGGGGGCATTGAGCAGAGGGGGAGGAGGGATGATGTGGACGATGACGAGTACTGCTGGGTGGAGTTTGATCTCTGCCTGTGCCTGATCTGTTATGTAAGGTTTTTAACTCTTCTAAGTGTTACACTGATTTAAAATGTCACTGTTATCGGTGTCAGATGTTTAAACGGTCTGAAACCTCGGCATGTATTGAAGCTTTACCAAACGTATGGTACATCCAGTGATAAAGAAAGTTGATACGCTGCTCTGGCTAACACGCCAGTGGTGTGGAAGGTCAGAGAGGCCATCCAGACAAACAAACAAAACTTCTGCTGATACATTTTCACGTCTGTTGTCCTTTGTTAATGACTTAAGCATATTAGAAACATGTTTTTTTCCAACAAAATACTTAAAATTCTAAAAATGTGAGGAGAAGAAGTTTTCAATGGATAACATTTTTAAGTTCATTCTAAGGCTGTCGAATGATAAAAAAAAAATGTATTGCAATACATTTCTCTACATTTCAATAGTTTATTGTGATTAATCACATTTTTAAAAGCATGTTGGAAACTCCATTATTTCACATTTAAAATTGTGAGGCTTTGGCCGTCAGTTGCCTAGTGGTAAGTGAGCGTGCACCATGCACAGAGGCTGCAGTTTTCCAAGCGGATGGCCGGGTTCAAATCGAACCTGTGGCTCCTTACCAGCATGTCATTCCCCTCTCTCTCCCCCTGATTTTTCACTCCACTGTCCTATCTCTACATTAAGGTATAAAAAGCCCCAAAATAGAAACCTTTAAAAAAAATGGTTAGGCTTTTATTTTGAATGTTTGTTCTGTCTTTAGCTGAGAGTACTTACTTGATTTTTAAACTCAACCCTGCTTTTATTTTGAAATAAAGTAAGGACCTTCTGGTAGATCCCCCATTGGAGAGCTTTTGTTAATTTAACTTACCATCTGGTTGCAAATTAGGAAAAATGTCAAAAGACAAACATTTTTCTAAGCGCCAGTGTCTTTTTAAAATAGTTTCAATGTGTAGAGAGCGTTCGCAGCAACAGGCAACCGCCAGGAGAAATATACGATAAACAATAAACAATCTCAAATAAAAAACAAACAGTAAAAAGTAACAGAGCAGTGTCGGTCATACAGCGGCCATTGTCAACAGACTGTTGTCATGGAGACAGGAGGGACGTGCAGCGCTTTTATTCTCAGCGCACAAACGCTTTATGAAAGTTCTACCAAGCCTACAGCCAGCACTTTTCTGCCCGGAAAAAATGCTAGGTGGTCTCACTCTATTCCTGTTGGGATCCCGTCTGTTTACAGTTATCAGACATTTACAGTATTACAACTCAAAGGAGCACTTCTATATTTATGTTTGTTTAATCCGACAAACACGACTTCTCTTTGACGCGTCCCTCCTCTTTAGCTACCTCTGTGTGCTGTTTGAAAGATGTTCTCCAAAGATGAGGCTTTCCAGCGTGAGAAGGATCGCTCTTTCTCTCGTCGATTACAGTCTGCCAAGTAGCTTTCATTAAACTGTCTGAGGGGACTTTTTGTAGCTGGCTCGTATTCAGACTGCTGACGGCTCCGATGACTCAGCAATGTTTACACTCTACTATTCATTATGACCTTATTGTCTCTCGTATTTCTACCCTGTAGTGTCTGAGCCTGGTTTCTGCCTGGACGGTTTACTTCACATGTTTTTAAAGGAACTACAACATGTGGTGAGGATCAGTCAAAGTACTGAGTCTGTAAAATCCTTCAGTCTCTTGATCTTGTGTCCAGACATTTTTAATTGGGTTGCCCATCTGGGACACTAACTAAGGCCTGGCTCACACTGCAGGAGTTTTAAAATCCTTCCAGATTTTGAATTTGTAGCATCACACACATGAGGAGAATCTTAACAGATATTCTTCCCCATAATCTCAAACACGCTCACACTACAAGATATGAAAATCTTGGCACATCACAGACTGCAGTATTAAATTAAGATTATCGTGCCCGACGGAGGAACGCACCACCTAGGTGACCTGTGACATGACCTTAAATAAACTACGCAGGTGGCGGTTAAATGTGCTATTATAATGCTTTGTGCAGAGAGGAAAACACATTATCAAAGTTTTGGGTGGAGAAATGTCTGGGGAGACGCAGCTGTCTGTTCTTCAGTGCTCACCTGTGCCGGTTACCTCCTGCCGCCAGTCATCACTACTACACTCATTACTGTCCTCCCTCGTCTCTCTCTCTGTATTGTAGTCACACACAACTTCTGCCAGAAGCTTTCAAGACGTAATCGTCAAGATTTTAAAACATAAAACATGTTTGAAATAAATTGTCCCTGACAATCGCCGAGCAGATCGGGGACGTTTAGATTGGATCTTTATACCGCTCACACTCCAAGATAATCTGAGAAGGTTCGGTTCTGAGCAGCCTTGAGTTCTGCTCGGATCCTGCGATTGTCAGGAAGAAGGAATTGGACCTCAAATCGGCCTGATTATCCTGCAGTCTGAGTCAGGCTTTATGGTGGCACGACGTCTGTGGGCACGAAATCATTTCTTTCTTCTTTTTTACCAGTTCCATCCCCACAGATGATTTGTAAAAAAAACACTTGGCTGTGTGAAGCTGTGTCACAAGGGTCTTTAATTTCAATGTTTTTTTCTGTTTTAAAACTGGGGCTGTCAGCATTAACTAGTTAATCATGATCAATTAAGGTCTGAAATTCATGCAGTAAGTTTTTTTTAATCAAACATGTTATTTTTGTCCCTTTAGGCTCACCATAGATAGTGGTCCTCAGTGTCTCCCTGTAGTCTCAGTGATGTAAAAGAAGAACACTGCTGCATCTTTGAATGTCTCATTTCACTTTAACAATGCACTCACTAATTCTGTTAGTCAGCTACTCCTTATAACTTCTCGTCTCATTCAGTTTTATCTCCCCTTGGGGCTGACAAGGTGCGTGTGTTGTGGGTGTGTGTGTGGGAGTGTGTGATGCGTGCTGTGCATGCCACTACACTCTCTGACTATGTGGTGTGTGTGTGTGTTGGTGCCTGTGAAAGACATTTCATGTGCAATACATTGCTATTTGTTACATGTCCTTTACTTGCTGAATGATGTTTGATGTTCTTATATGATGTATTTGTTACCTGCCAAGGGACTGCAGATGTAAATTAGCCTCAGGCTAACTCTGGTGCAATGCATTAAATGGTTACATTTATGTTTTAATTGCACATGGTCCCTTACAAACAAAACAAAACAAAAACAAAAACAAAACAACCACTCAGACAGCTCAGCTGAAGAGTCCAAAGTAATATCCACCTCATGACATCACACATTGACCTGATGACATCACACATTGACCTTTGTTCCCGTTCCTTTGAGCTGTTTGACCTCAGTTTGTGATCCCTAACCACTTCCTGTTTCTGTGCTTAACGTCATGTCCTAACCTTCACTCAACCAGAAACTCCTTACTTTATTTCAAAATAAAAGCAGGGTGGAGTTCAAACAGGAAGTAAAGTAATCTCAGCTTAAGACAGCAAACAACTTCAAAATAAAAGCCTAGAAATTTGTATTTTTAAATTTGAAATAATGGAATTTCAAACATGCGATTAATCAGGATTAACTCTAGTATTTTAGTCATTAATTAAAATGTTAAAATGATTGACAGCCCTAGAATGAACTGAAATACTTGCAGTTGTTACTTAATATAACAGTTGCACAGGACCAAAGAAAAGGTGAATCAGTTCTCCACCATAGCAGAGAGTTATGAGGAGGACTTTGGTCTGTGCAGACAGAAGAATGAGCCTCATTGTATGTGCAGTAATAAGTTGGAGGGGAGCTGGCAGCGCTGCATGCTGGCACACAGCAGGCCTGTCCACATTCATGCCAAGGGCCACGTTCCTCTCTTCCATCACCGCAGTGTGAATCTCCCTGAGCTGATTTATCGTGAAGCCTTCATCTCTTTCAGCCTCTGCCAAGAACCTGATTTGGAGTAAACCTCAAAGCGAGCCTGAGATGTTGTTCAGCCAGAGAGGTCTGTCTGTTCGCTGTAGTAGAAAGTAACAAGGCGGCCCGCCTACCTTTGGCTCCGGTTTCCCCGTCATGGTCTTCAGCAGCTCGTGGAGGTGCGGCCAGTTTCCCTGCGAGTACCAGCCAGGTTTGTCCAGCGATGGCAGTCCCTCGCTCTCCTCCACGTCGTTCACTGGAGGAGACAGAATCAGACACCACAGTTTGACCAAGCAGCCAGCTGCTACATGACCGCACAGATTTGAGGCCTCCGGCAGTAAAACCACGTCAGCTAAAACCTCACCACACAGCTCAGCAGACGGCCCTCAGGAAAAACAGAAGAGCAGAGCAATACTGAGATTCATACAGACTGAGAGGCCGCTTTCAGATACTCTCACTGAAGCCCCTGACGTGAACGTCAGGGAAACATGTCTCTTTAAGTTACACAATTCTCCCTTCTCCTGACTCATCTCTGCTTTTTCTTGTGAATTTCTGAATAATTTCACCTCAGGGGAGAGAGTCATTATTCATATAGTAACATGCAGTTTTAGCCAACGCAGACTGTGACTTTTAGTCATAGATTCACAAAATGAATGAAACAATAAGGGAAGACTAGACCCTGATGAGTTATACAAGGTAAGATACACTTTTATTGCTCCCCTATTGAAGGGGAATTTTACATCATGAAAGATAACTAGAATCAGCAAAAAGTTACCGTAAAGCTTCAAATAGAAGCCCAGTCTGATTTAATGCCAAGTCTCTTTTAATAGTCTGGTGTAGCTGCACGTCTGGACCAATGAAGGCAGCTCTCCATTAGGGCATGGTCACTGGTAATCTGTACCGTGCCTAAGCACACTTCACCCATCAAGTCCAGTTCATTTGACCAGTGTGACCGCTCCGTACACGGTACACTTCCTTGGCTTTGGCACATTTCAGAGAGGTGTGCTTCGGCACGGTACAGTTCATGCACGAGCACGAGCATGCGGGTAAACAACGTTGACAGCCTTCATTATGGAGAAGTCTGGAGTGTTCTGTCTGTATCTGACTAACATGACTCAAAGTAAAGACACAAAGTAGCTGTCATGTTCTCCGATGTGCAGACGCGGAGATGACAGCGCGTCCCTTTTTAAAAAAATGTTCTTGAGTCTGCCTGTTTTTAAACTGAGCAGGCTTCATAATAACGTAAAGCCATGCATGTGCTGTATTACAACGTTATGTACAAGAGGTAACCGTGCTTAGGCCTGGTTAGTCCTGGAGCAGTTTGACTGCATGTCGTGCAGGTCAGCGGGGGAATGGGGAGGGTGGGGTCAATCGTGCTTAATATCAAACATGTGTGATATAAATCAAGGATGTTCACATTGGAGCTTAAAACTCTCATTTCTCTTTCATAACTTTATTAAGACATTGCATTAGGTTGCACAAGTGCTGCAAACTACTCAGAGACGGTGTAAATATGGTGAAGTGGGTGACAGATGAAATACGTGCGTCAGCTGTGTGTTGATGCTATCAATCATAGTGAGCGTGTGAACAGAGAGACTGCACCCTAACATCAGAAAGTACTAATGTTCATATTTGACTGGATGCAAGATCTTTTCTCTTCCACTGACCAGACGGGGAACTCAATATCACTGCTCTAATGCAGAGTCCCTCAGTCATTATTGTATGCATTCATAGCTTTGCAGAACCAAGACTCCAAATGGACCTCTGAAACTCATGTGACGTCCTGCCCTCTGTCTGCATTTGTTGGGCTTCCTGGCTTGGCAGACAGTAGGCGGAGTCAGGAAGGCCATTAGTCCAACTGGGTACACCTGAGTCCATCAGGACTCTGCTTATAAGAGGCTTCCACTCTAATTTGTGTCTCTCATCTCTCTTCCTCTCAGGCCACCACCAGCTGGTTTGCTTTTGTTTGCACTTCACATCACTACACTCTATCCATACTATCCATACATTGAATTCATGACTGATGTACATAATTATGATTCTTTTAAGTTGAGGTTAAATAATAAATTGATTTCCTTTAAACCCAGGGATGGCTTTGAAACGTATCGGTACATTCCAATCATTGTTTTGAAACCTTTTGAAACATTTCAAAACCTCCTCGCTCAACATCGGCATCTACTGGCAGAAGCAGTCATTGCAGCCAATAATCATTGTGTTGAAGTGTTGAAGGCTCCCTTTTCCCTAACCCCCCCTAAATAGTTTTCATGCAGAAACAATCAAATCATCACTTATTTAGTTCTTGTACATTTCTTATAGTTCTCATAGTATGATGGTCCTATGCTTCTGTAAGCTTGTTGTACCATTAAATATTTGTATACATCTATCCTGTCAATACTCAAATTCCTTGTCTGTATAAACGGACTTGACTACTCCTATTATTCTGATCCTGAATAGTTCTTATTGCATTTCACTGTAATTGTACTTGTCAAAACAAGGTGGCATAAAGATTAATGTTCAGAAGCATTATTTTTTCTACGATTTTATTTAGAAATAATTATATCCTCCCCATTTTTGGGCTTAGCCGGCACCTCCGCTTCACCTGAAATGAAATTACAAGGTCAGACAAAAACTAAATAAACATGCTTGACCTCATCCTGGGAAATTAGATAAAATCACTCCCATGCCTTGGATTTGCCATTTCTATTTAAACCTTGTTTGTGTGATACTCTTCTTTTGTCACTTACTTTGAGCCAGTTTGTGACAAAAGGGGGCTCTACAGCCGTTTGGTTCTCGTCGTGCAACATAGTACATGTGTTAATTTGTTGTGCGTTTGTGATGATAAAGTAGATCCAGGATTTACTCTGTTAGTTTGTGAAACATGTGGGCTTATATGATCAATCAGATCTGATTGTTTAGGTTGAACTTGTTTGTTAAAGGTGTGCTTCATATGCACAGTGGCCTCTCTGGCCCAATGAGTAGATGTTGGGTGCTGTGTTGTTGTTTTCAAGTGATCTCCCTGGTTAGTGAGGGGTCAGCTGGCTGATTTATTCGTCCTTCCAACGGTTCACTCGTTTATTATTTTTGAGGTTATCCCAGGCGGAGACCAGTCCTCTGTTGGGGGTAGGCGTGTCAGGCCTCTTCACATGTCTGATGTTAAGTCTTTAAAGTCGCCTTGAGCCCGGCACGCCTCAGAAGTTAGTCAGGTTCAATTAAAGTAGGCAGGTACCAGGGAGAGTTGCTTTTTGATTACTGCACTCAGGAGCTTGCTTGTGCTGCTCACTTGTGGGAGATTTTGCAAGTTATGTCAGTTTTGATTAATTAAGTCTGTTTAATTTGCGTAACTTCAAACCTGTTGTTGTCTTGGTTACGTTTTGTTTTCCACGTTGTCTAAAGTGCTTGTTTTTGGCCTTTATGTGGAAGGGGTTTTCATACATTAAATAGTTTGTTGGCTCTTCTTGTTTAGGTTTTAGAAAAGGAAGTATTTGTTTGGTGGTTGGGAAAGGAGGAGTAGCATTTGTCCCCGTTCTTCATTTGGTTTGAGTGGTATCTGATGCAATGACACTTATGAGACTATTGGTACTTTTTGTTTTTCAAATACATTTTCTGAAGCAAGAAATGTGGCAATAAATAATGCATTGTTTACGATAGTCTCTTTGCATGATCAAGAAACCGTTTGAAGTGTAGTTACAGTGACTGGTTACTCTGGATGTTAAGCGCTGCAACATAAGGTCTGGCAGTTTTGGGTAAAAGGCGCTGGAGCTCATGCTCATTGAGTTTGATTGTTGGGATGAGCTTTGTTTGTGTGACATGGTCCTCTTTGTGTCGTAGGACACTTTGGTGCTTTTGGATAGATTGACCTTGTTTTGGTCAAGTGTCTTTAATTCCAGTTCTGTTTGGATTGTGGAAACTGGAGTTTTGTAAAGGCAAGTGATTGTGAACGTTTGTCTAGCTGCAGATCATTTGGTTGGACATTTGAAAGACTTGCTGGGAGAAGCTAATTCATTGAAACATCTTAAAATTAGTTTTGGTCAAATTCAAATCTGTCTGTATACTGACCATAAAGTCCTAAGTGTTCCATGTTTCGAAGAAAAAATACAAAAATACAAATAGAACACACCGCGGAGACCACAGTCAACGGCCAAACAACCATGGACGTTCTGCGCACACGCGAGAGGTAATTCCAAGAAGGGGAGACCGGAAGAGGACGAGGAAGAACGTGGATAAATAAACCGTTGTGATACGAGAAGATAATTTTCTCACTGCTGTTGCTCAACACGCGTAATATTGGAGACTTCTAATGGAGATAATGTCTGATAAAAAGTTGAAAATGGCGCTGGCAGCCCTTCGTCTTTTGTTAGTGAAACAAGAATAGAAGAGGCGCTCCCGTTTTTCTTCCCGTGCACTGGCTCTCCTGTTTCGTTTAGCTGAACAGTCAATCAGGGAGATCCCTACCCCCAACTGTGCCGGTGACGGCTCCTCAGATTCAACATGTAGAGTCGGCCAAAAAAAGACCAACTGGGGCTGATGTGGAGCCGACCGGTACCAACGGAGCTGGACACACCGCTAAGACAAAGGGGGCGATCGCTCACCGACAGACCAACGTCCGACGGTCTCCTTGGTGTGTCAGAGCCTCTACAGGTAACTGCTCCTCTGGACAGAAGGTGGGGGGTCTTTAAGTTGACCAGGCGGTGTTTTTACGAGTCGCAGCAGATGATTAATAGAAGATCCTCACTCTCACTGACAAAAACCTGCAGAGTGAGGAGCACCACAGGTTCAGACTGAAGTTAAATGTGCAATAAATATTGTGACAGGAGAAAGAGTGAACGAACAGAGATGAGGACATCCACATGTGTGATGGTGCTCTCACACACACACACACACACACACACACACACACACACACACACACACACACACACACACACACACACACACACACACACACACACACACACACACACACACACACACACACACACACACACACACACACACACACACACACACACACACACACACACGTGGTGGTAACAGCTGGCATAAAGTTCTGTGGTTATGCTCCATGTTAAAGGACAGTCCTCGAGGTACACCGAGCAGCCCCGTGTGAACTCTCGCCTTGCTCCAAATTTATATTTATTCAGTGAATAGTACACAATAGCACAGGCCATAAGACTTTTGAACACAAAAAAAAATCCCTCAAACCCCCACACAGGACTACCTCACTGGACTGTAAAATACAATATAACATACATCACAAACGTGCAATATATTTATCTGTATAGAAATTTTATACATTTATATTTATATCTGCACCTTATTTTTCTATGTAAATACTTGCTGCTGTTTATATCCTGCACTACAACGAGCCAAACGCAACAAAATTTCGTTCTTATCTGCACTGTGAAGTACAAGTTTGAATGACAATAAAGAAAGTCTAAGTCTACACATTAGACTTCAGGACAGTCTTCTATTGCACGTCATATTCATACTTTACAACAAGGTTAATACTACCAAGAAGCTGCTCTGTGGTAACCATGGACACCAACAGAGTAAGGGCGCACTCAAACTAGGCAATCCGTACCGTGCCTAAAGTCCAGTTCGTTTGACTGATATCCAGAACAACATCTCTCCATCTGCTCTGATTCTGCTTAAAAAGAACACAGAGTCATTTATCTACGATAAGAGTCTGCAAAAAAATAAGCAAACTTCAAACTCTGATATCTTTAGAAAAATGCAGTTTGATTTCCGAGTGGGCTGGCTGTGGCTCTTTCTGACACAAACACTCACTGATGCTGTATGGGGAGAATCATTTTGCTGGAGGACGTCGAGTTAATGAGCTGAAATTGAGCCAGCTGAAGACTGAAGTATATTTTAGCTGTGACACCGTCTGCAGCTGCTGTACTTCATTCAGCTCCTGTCTGACGGGCCATAATGTCTCTTATCTTAAGGTAAGTAGGACCTCATACCTCATAAAACCACACAACAGTTATTTATTGATGTGCTTGTTATTATCCAACAGAAACTTTTAGGAATGCAAAATAACAAGAGATGTTTTTCCAACAAAAAAAGGGAGTGTCCAGTATGTGTGTGTGTGTGTGTGTGTGTGTGTGTGTGTGTGTGTGTGTGTGTGTGTGTGTGTGTGTGTGTGTGTGTGTGTGTGTGTGTGTGTGTGTGTGTGTGTGTGTGTGTCGGTGGAGGCCAGAGGAAGAGCAGATGCTGATGTTTCTCTCTGCCAGCGTGGCAGAACTCAGGAAGAAGAGCGAGGCCGAGGCGAGAAGAGAATATTTCAGCGAGTGGATCATCCTGTCTTCACACATAATGCATCCCCAGTGTTATTGCTGGCAGGAAGACAATCCAGATGAGGGGAGCATTCCAGCCAGCCCCCTCCTGCACAGCACACACCTTCGACGTGAGCATCCGGGATCAGATGTGGGGGGATAAGGTGAGCGGGAAGGAGACGGGCCCATGAAGGTAACCAGAGATCTTTGGACCTGCTGGTGACGAGGGCCTGAGCCAATGAAATATTGGCAGCCGATGTTTATCTCACTAACACGACTAACAGCTGTTTCAGCTGGACTGACCTCCTTAAAATAGATTGCTAAAATAAAACTAATGATTCACTGTTTAAAGACGCCTGAGAAGGACTACTGTATTTAAAAAGACGATGCTACGAGACTTAAAGGTTCGGTATGGTATGGTAATATGGCTCTAGCTAGCTAAAAACAAGACTTGGTGGCCTCTTAAAAGCAGCGAGCTAGATTTCTGGGAGGAGCCAAGTCCAGTTTATCAATCTCTACAACAGGTAGGTGTTCAGAACACGTCTTCTCTCCTGCAAGTGCCACCATCACCCTCTCTTTATAAAGTTTAAAGGTCATAAACTCCTCCTCTTCAACCAGTTTAAATAAGTCTTCAAAACATGTCTGTGTAGTTTCTTGTTCTAAATCCACTCTGATCCTGTATTTGATCATGTCTATAAACCCCTCTATTTCAGCCCTGCTCAGAACAGGCTGTTTCTGTGTCTGTACCTTTAAATATGTAAATGAGCTGTGTCTGACCACGCCCCCTCTCTGGAAGGGCTTGGGTGTACTCGGTGCTTTCTCGCTCCATGACCTATTGTTTACAGTGAGAAGGCAGACTCAGAGGGCAGAACAAACACCTAGCTGTGGGAGTGTCACCCACCTGGGGGAGGGGTTACTGCCCTTTGTGATGTCATGAATCTCCAAATGGCCTGTTTGAGCACACATTTTCTGAAAAGTGGAGCAGGCAGAAGACGGAGAGGATGGACTTTTCTCATAATTGAGGGGGTTTGTAGACAGACTAGAGACACATATTAGTGTAAGAACAGCATGGTTAAGAGTATTTTGCAGAATATGTGACCTTTAATTTTCTACCTTCTGGCTGACGGTATAGGAGTGCCTGTGGAAAAAAAGGCGTTGGGTCTCATATGTACCTGCTGCTATTTGTTTGTTAATTTTAATGTATTGATGTTCACTGCACACTGTACTTTTTACGGGATGCTCTTTGCACATAGCTGGTGCAACCGGTATTCATTTCTGACCTTAATTGCATCCCAAATGAACACCTGAACATTCATATGACCACATGATGAGTTTAGCCACTGATTCAGTGCAGTGGTGAGTTGGAGCAGGAGACCGGTACTCACCAAGGGTCCTGAAGGGCCTCTGCTGGGGAACCAAGGAGAAGAAACCGGGCTTCAGGGCGTTTGTGATGATGACATCAAATAGCTCTTCGAAATCCTTCCTGTAACGGCCGGAAAAAAACAACATTAACATCTGAGATCGGCGCCTGGTTGCTGTGTGAGGGACAATGCCTGGACTGCATCCAAACACTATGATTTGCAGAAGCACAAAGTTAAACGATGGAAAACATGCAGCTGTAAACAGAGAGAACATACAGAGCTGTAGAGGGAACACTTGTTAAGTAAACACTTAAAGACGGCCGTATACACTCCCACAATAGATAGTGAGCATGTGAAGAGCTGGGTTGTATCTCCATGGAGACCTATGGTAAATGACTATTTGTATCTGTACAGTATGAGAACCAAGCACATCCACGCTAACCATCCATATAAGGAGAGAAACACACAACAGTCTGAATAAACAGGAAAAACTTATAAGCAGATTAATCAATCAAAGTGATGTGTGAAAGTGTTTATGTACAAACTGTAATATGTCCCTCCAGAAGCAAAAAAAACAAAAAAAAATTACCACTGAACTGGCAAAAATTCATCTGAAGGTCGCTGATAGTTAGATTTGGTGTGATCGTTTTTTTTCAAATATTTATTTTAGCATTATTGTAGAAACAGGACAGTGGAATGACATGAGGGAAGGAGCAAAAGGTCGGATTTGAACCCAGGCCGCCCGCTTAGAGGACTATAGCCTCTGTACATGTGGCACGCCAAATAACAACTATGCCACCGGCAAGACATGTTTATCGTTGCCATGGAAACACCAGATGTTATGTCAAAGACCGCTGCATAAGAAGCGTGAGCTGCTACTGAAAGCGGTCATAATGTTGCTGTTTGTGCTGCTGTGATAAAACACGTCATGTATATTATACTCTGATACATCGTCGGTTTTTAAAGCGACAGGAGCCGTTTAGAATGACGTCATATAGCGGTCCACTTCCTTGTTTGAGCACAGATGCGTTCACATATCCCATGGACTGTACTCCAGTTCACAGGAATTGTGCCAGAGACCACCTCTTTAAGGGGTACGGTAAGTTTGTGTTCACTCTGATCAAATGAACAAGACTTTGGGGTCAAGCGTACTCGGATCCGGGCCCGGGTCCCTAATGTGAGACCAACCTTAGTTTTCCTTAGCAGAACTTAAGAATTGTTGTTTTATTAACTTCTCATTCAAACTGTTCATTACAACAACAGTGTGTTAAAAACAGTTTGACTAATTGGACCAGGTTTCTCCTCTTACTGAGACTTTGGTTGTGATAGGATAACATCTCGATATCATCAAATAGAGACAGTAATTTTCAAAATGCAATTAAGAAAATCTAAATATATGTAAATATTTAGAAGAAGATATACTTTATGAATCACATGAGGGGAAATTCAATTTTACGTTTTTGAGACACAGGCTGAAATACACACGTGCACAAACAGGATCCTGTGGACATGCAGTAATGGAGGGACGTCAGAGTGAGGGGGCTGCCCACAGCGAGTTGGTGTTGGTGGAGGGTGGTGGTTAGGTTCCTTGCTCAAGGGCACCTCAGCAGTGCTCAGGAAGTGAAGTGGCACCTCTTCAGCTACCAGACCAACTTCCAGACTTTCAATGCACACAAAAATATATTTCATTCTATATAAATGTAAAACAAATCCACAAATAAAAAAATAAGATTCACAAATGTATTTCTGATTCACACACAAATATTCATTGTTTTATATATATCTAATAGAAATTTGTGACTCCTTCTGTGTGCATTTGTGAATATTGAGACTGATCTAACTCCATACCTACAGACTGAGCCGCCCTAAACACTTGATTTATTAGGTGTTATAATTTGGGCATTTGAGGGATATTTATCTTGAGTTTTGTTGAATCAGTGTTTCTAAATGTCTGTGAAACACTCGTATGGTAGATTCAAACATTCTTTCCCTGACAAACATTAGCAGCAGCCTCTCTGGACGGCTCGCTGGGTTTTGGCCCATCGTCTCCTGTCAGACAGTTTTGGCCTTGTTGTGCTACTTCTGACAGCTCAGTGTCATTGGCCTCCAGCCGCTTCAGCACGGTCAAGAGCGACACTGCCAGAACAGTTTTCATCTGTGAGGAGGGAAGTGCTGTGTAGTGAAGCAGAAGAGGTCGTCTTTAACTACAAATCCTCTAACCCCCTGAAGAAAAAGAAAAAAGGTCCCCAAAATGTCAAACTCTTGAAGCTGGGTTGGTGAATTTGTTGAGTCAAAATGAAAGGTAAAGGAGAAACAGGAAGCAGGCCGTCTAATGTGTGAACAAAGCACAAACAGTCCTCCTGAGGGACGGAGCAGCCCTTATTTCCTCTTGTTGCTATCACAACATAAATTTACACCCCTGACCTTGTAAAGCAGCGACTTGAACATGAATTTGAGCGCACACAGCTGGAGCTCTGACTGCCCTCCCTGGGAGAACAGTGGGAATGACCAGGCTGCTGCTGAACAGGAAATGAAGAGAGTGGGGTGGAGGGGGTGGGGGGGGGTGTTCAGGCCACATGTGTCCCCTGAGATGAACTGGCATCCAGAGTAAAACAGCTCTGCCTCGACCTGCTGTTTTCTGCATCTGCTGGACTTCAGAGAACAATCAGCTCTGAGTCTGGAAAGTGAAAAAGCAGACCACCTCAGTGGGAGGGCGCTGCGTGAGATAACGACACCTTGTGGAAAACAAAAAGGGCTTATGGTGTCACAGCAGCAGCATACACACGGTGTTTATTCAAGGCTCTGTTGCTGCTTGATCGAGTGTGTAACAGAGCTTACGCTACAAAAATAAGCTCTAAACCACACAGTGTGCACTGCAAACAGAGGGAGGCAGGTCACACACAAAGCAAACGACGAGCTCAGACAATAAGTCTTCTGCTGCTCACATACACATACAAGATGAACGGATGAGTAATTCTTAGATTGTTATGGACTCAATGGAAACAGAACCTGCAGCATTTCATTATAATAATACTTTATTTGAATAGTCCTTTTCATTACTGGTAACAAAGTGATTCACCATGTGCAATAAAAGCAAAGAGACAGAATTAAAGAGAAGACCACAGATTCTTTGTAAAATCATGTCTTCAGTAGAGAAATAAAACTGTAGCAATATTGCCTAACAGTGAGTGTGAGTGTGAATGTGGCTGGTTGTCTGTCTCTGTATGTCAGCCCTGTGATTGACTGGGGAACAGTCCAGGGTTTACCCCGCCTCTCGCTCAATGACAGCTGAGATTGGCTCCAACCCCCTCTCAAAACCACAATGTGAAAAGCAGTACAGCCAGTGGATGGATGGACTGATTCTGCAGGTCTGAGATCCTCTGGCAGGCTGTACTACAGTCTGTGGGCTCAGACAGAAAAAGACCTTTTCAGTCTGAACTGATCTCTAAAATATTCTTAAAATCAACAGGCATGCACTAACCACAAACCTCCTTGTCTGCCCAGGTCTGATTATATAGTAAGGTCATTTTATGATTTAATTCAGTCGATATCTTTCATATCAGCTACAAGGAACTGAGTCTCTATAGAAGATAATAATATAACTTGTGAATCATATGCGCGTTGATGATGATTTAAAAGTCAAGCAGACATGTGAGCCAGCGTTGACTTCAGGGAGGACTGACGGCATGTGAGAGCTGAAAGGAGTGCAGTGAGCTGTGGGTCTGCGTGGGTTCTCTTACCCCAGGATGTGTTCACAGATGAGCCTGCAGTAGTCGCTGTGGGAGCTGGTGATGAGGAGTAGGACCTTCCCAGCGCTCTTCATGCTGCGCAGCCAGGTCTTCACAGAGTCCGAGCAGGGCTGCAGGTACCGGCCCGGGTCCCTCTTCACACTGGGGAAGTATGTCCCTGCATCCTCTGCACGAGAAGAAACACAAACAAAAAAAATTAGACTGCAAGCGTGATATTCAAGATCGTTATGGTCTCTGTGACATGGACATTGATCCCGTGCCATCATGATCTCTCTGATCACTTTGGAGCTCGAGATGGTTGAAATAAACCAATAAAAATGTTTTTTTCAGGTAGACATCAAAGGCCACATGCGTCCATTTCTCTGGAAATAAATAGTGTTTTAGTCAAGACCTCACTAATCGAGACCAAGATATACCCGATAACAGAGTGCTCCGAGACTGAGAGCAGACCAGGACCATAAATATCACAGAAAATCATCATCATCTTGTGTGCAGGGGGCGTGTCACTCACTTGCGTCAAAAAATGAATGAGTTGAAATAAATGTTCTTTTAAAAACTGGCATTTTTCTTCTAATCACAGTGATGACGTGGTGGTCTTGACCAGTCTTCATTTAAGGTCTGAGGCCGAGACAAGGCCGAGTAGAAATGCATTTGATTCCGAGACGAGACTGAGACATTCAAAAAGTGGTCTCAAGACCGGTCTACACTATAAATAAAAGCTTATAGATTGAGCTGAGGGTGAAGCCCCCCCTAGCTGCTCTTTAGTACATCCTGCTGTTCAGAGATAAACATGGCAGCGCTCTGATCTGTGTTACACAATCTCACTCTATTACAGGACATAACTCTTGACCTAATGTTCTCGGAAAATCTTGTGGATATCAAAAAATCATGAATAAAACATTAAGGCGCTCGATGCTGATCAGCAACTTTTACTGGCACGTCCATGGGTGAATACTGGGTTATGAAACAGAACTATTTTAACCTGGTAATGAGAGGAAATGTAACCAAACTGTGTCTTGAGGCCTTGTTATTACAGTAAGACATTTTGTAAAAAGTGCTCTGGCTGTGAAAACCCTTTCTCTGCTCTGCTTTGCAATCACTTCTAAAATGTCACGACCTCATAATGACGAGCAGGGAACTGAATTAGATTCCCACCTGGAGACATGTGCAATCTCATCAGAGAGAAAATGAGGCGACCTGGATGAGCTATTTGCCTGGAGGCAGAAGGAAGAAGTCAATACTTGAGAAGTGGCATCTGTACTATCACAAGCAGAAAAGAGGGCTTTGGAAACCAAGGCAGGGTGTGAATGAGAACTTCTTGAGTCTTTGTGGTTACTGCCACAGAGGAAACCAACAAGTGTTATTACTGTGTAGAAAATCCCTCTCCTTGTCTACCTGGTTCTGTGGGAGATCCCCCCCCCCCTCTCCAACACTCCTGACTCCCTTACATGCATGGACGGGGCTTCAGAGCTACTAAAAGCTGCCGGCTCACCTGTGTCACCTCTCATGTGAGTGTCTCATCACTCATGATAGTTTTGACTGTGAGCTTAAAATAATGAGGTTTCTTTTGCTTAAGACTATTGATTAGTTCATACATTATTTACTCTGCTGATTTACTCAGTCATATTATTAATCCTGGGTCTGAATACGTTTTAATGATGAGAATTAGCTTTTGTGACATCTGATTTGTGACATCTGATTTGTGACTTGGATTATGATCTCAAGGTTGATTACCGGTGTTGGTCTTTTTCTATTGTCGTAAACCAAGCCTCCTCACTCTCAAATATTCTTCATACTGTATTGACCAAGCTCTTTCATACGTACTCACTGATAACGATGATATGGACGATGATAATATTGATGATTAAATTCAAAGAAACCAGTTTCTGTGTGCTTTGCCTCCTTGCACCTCTGTCCATCAACTTCAACTCCTTCAAGCTGCTTTTTGCCACTAATATTCTCGCCTGTCTAATTCTTGCTTGTGATGTACAACGCTTTGGACAGAAGCTCACATTAGCAACATAAAGTTACAACTGAATAAAATAGACCTGAACTCAAGTGAGAAAACAAGCTTGTAGATACTGTAGGCGATCGATCACAGTTTAACTTATCTCATCAAATTCAAAGCCTTAGTAATATTTTTCCATGGAGATGAAAAAGAAGATGCAGTCAAATGTTTCAATGATCATGTCTGTGAAGAGCCTGAAGGTCTTTATTCTTTACCTCTTTACCCAGGTCTTGTATTGAGCCTGCACTGATGAATAAGCGCATTTAATTCTTCAGTGACAGTGAGAAAAGTTTAGAAATGCTGCCCTCTTGTGGTGGAGTCCAGGACTAGCTTTAAGAAAGATAAATGCTGCCTGTCAGAGGGCAGTGGAGCATTTCAACCAGAAGATGACGACAAACACAAACAAGCCGAAAGCTGAGGTTCCAATCAGGAGCCCGCATTTCACACCTTTGAAAATGTCCCAGAGGTAAACATCTGATTCTGGGTTTTCAACAAACCCTTCAGAAGTTTAAATTGTTCCCACAGACAATTACACCTCCAGTCAAACAGAAAAAGCAGGTCAGCAACATCAAGGCTTGGCCCTCGGTTTGTGGGGCTGCTCCTCCTCTGGGACCCTGCAGCAGAGCGCCTTGTCCTGCCTCATTACCCACAGCCCGGGAGGTCAGCTGAGAAAAAGCTCCCCTGTCAGCAAACTCCCATGTCGCACTTACTGTGTGCGAGAGGAAGGATAAACAACAACTGATCACGCCGCCATTCTTTGTGTTGCATTCCATCAAATCAATGCAGTTTCATTCCACCGGGACCTGAAATCTACCACCCAAGTACAGAGATGGAACAAGACCTGGTAAAAGGGTCTGAGAAGGATTTAACAAAAGAGGGATCAGAGTTCCACTTTAGGGCTTTGTGCGCAAAACCAAAGTCGTCAGCTGTCTTTGTCACTGCGCCCACAGAGCTCTCTTGAAAAAGTAGTTTTTTGGAATCGTGCAGCGGTCGTCACTTTCATTCATTTCTCCCTTACCGACTAATCAAAGACAAGAGGGGGTGGGACTTTTGATATGACTACTTTACACCGTTTTCATGTTTTCTTGGTGATACTTCCTTGAGTTAAAGTCAATATTAAAGCCACAGAGCTATCTAAAACAGACCGAACGGACTTACAGAGCAAAGCAGAAGTTAACTTTTGTAACCTAGCAACAATGAGCGCTGGTTAGAAGCGTTCTGGCGCTGCCGGTGCAAATGGTGCCGTCTGTGTGGACACAGGCCCTTAAAGTTAATCATATCCTCTAAAATCTAAAGTTGAGAAACATCATTTTTTAATCCTTTTAAAAAGTCTACATTTATGTTTCTGTTATTGAAGATTCTCAATTGAACGAATGATATAACTTTAATTTCAAGGTAAATTAATTAAAAGTGGAGTAGAGAGAGAATCACTTCCATGATTCCCCACCAGCCTCAACTTCATCTTTTGTTATTGTTTTGATTGAGAGCCCCCTGGTGGTGGAGTTTACATACTGTGTTTTCCTCTGTTGTGCACTCCAGGTGGAAGGCTCCAGATGCTTTTATAATGCCATATTCACCTGCCGAATTACATGTTAAAAGTCATATAATATTTAACTCTTACAAAGTGCCATTGTTCACAGCCCCCCAGCTTTTTTGCATACCAAGTACAAGTACTTACATTTGGGTACTCACTGATACCGAGTACCGTTACGAGTATTTAATAATGCCACTGAATTTCTCTTAATCACTTTGAAAGTAAGCTTTATTTAAATCAGATATGATTCCTTACATTTTGACTTTACAACTGAAAAACATTACTGTTGCTGACATTATAACAGTTTTTAGAAACAAACATGGCACTGCCAGACATTTCCTTTTTATGTAACCTGTAACAAGCAGGCACACAGAAATAAAGCAGGCACTTTACCTCAGATCGAGTACAGTAGCAATGCAGTAGAGTGGGGTTTTTTCAGTATCCATGAAGCGCCTGTTGACGGCTGCAGCCAAGGTTGCTTTCATCGTTTTGATGCCCTGATCCGCGTCTGTTTCTTTGGTCAAAAGTCTCTGTAGCATGGTCACAGCAGGAATTACATCTGATGCTAAAGCATCGGACGAGCTCACTTTTCGGGTTAACTCCGCAAACGGAGCCAAAACAGACAAAGTCTGTAAGCGCTGTAAGATTGTTGGGCAGTTCATATTCAGAGCCAAATATTCCCAGAGTCCGCTTCTGCTCCGTGAGAGACTGTAGCACGTAGCACGTGCTATTCCAGCGCGTCTGCACGTCTTGTTGGAGTCTTCTTACGGGCTGGTTGAGCTGCAGCTGAATGTCTTCCAGGCGGGAGTAGGCTAATGCTTAAAATGTCCAACAATTTTACATCTGACTGACACCGCGTCAGCTACACTCCTCTGAGCCGAAAGTCCTTCGTTAACAGCTAGCTGTAGCGTGTGAGCCACGCATGGAAGGCTGGGGAGTCCAGCATCCACAGTTTGCAGTCTGCTCTTTTTTTGTCGTCATCGTTTACGCTGAAATATCTCCACACCGCTGACATCTCGCTTCTCTCCGTCTACCCGCTCAACTGAAAAGAGGTGCATGCCCGCCGTAAAGTGGTATCGATGCCGTTGTATCCGCGTAGTTTTATGAGTATGAGTATGAGTACTTAAAGGCGGCATCGGTCCAATGCCGAATACTGGTATCGGTATCGGGTCATCCCTACTGATAACCAATGAGCTACTTTCAGATAACAGCTTACTGTAGCATTCAGCCCCTTCCTTGCTAACATTTCTGTTAGACTGTGATACATTAAACGTAAAGAAGAGCATCAGTTAATTATATACTGAACAAACTCCTCTCAGCGTGACTTTACAAGAAAATGGATGCTGTGTAAGTATAATGCATACCCTCGTCTCAAACCTGGCTTAAGCTCGTGTGAAATCTGGATTGAACCATTCCTTTTGGATCCCAAATATGGTCGCTGCAGGTTGTTCAGATGATCGAGGAAGTCAAATCGAAGTTTATACTGGACCTTTTAATGCAAATAACTACAGTTAAATCTTCACCTCTAAAAGGGGAGATAGAACAAACTATATCGTCACTAATTCTACTTTGTTTTAACAAACTTTGATTCACTTTGGTTGATGAATTGCATACTTAAAGGCTG